GCTGCTGTTTGAACTGTATGTCCTCCTTGCTGGCAGAATGCATATGCTGAAATTTCAACCACCAATGTGATTATATTGGGAGGTAGGACTTTTAGGAAGTAATAAAGTTTAATGAGATCATAACTTGTGATGTCTTGATCTGATAGAATTGGTGGTCTTCTAAGAAAGGGAAGAGAGAAAGGAGAGAGAGAGAGAGAGAGAGAGAGAGCGAGAGAGAGAGAGAGAGAGAACTAGGTATCTCTCTGGTATGTAAGACACAGCAAGAAGGCAGCCACTTGTAAGCTAGTAAGGGATCCTCACCAAAAACCAAGTCCAACTATGTTGCCATTCTGATTTTGAACTTCCCACCTCTGTAGGTAGAAGAAAACAAATTTTGTTGCTTAGGCACTCAGTCTTTGGTATTTTGTTGGCAGCCCAAGCAGAGTAATGCACCTGCACTTCGTTACTGTGGATTCTGATTATTACATAGCATTCTTTCATTCTGCCTGGAGAGTCCTTTAATATGTCTTGGAGAGAATGTCCTGCTGGCAACGAATTCTCTAGGGTGTCTGTTATTTTTTTTTAATAATTTTGGAATGGCTTTGTTTTTATTTTTGCTGGGTAATTTTGCAGATGTCTTGGCCAACAGTCTCTTTTTCTTGTATCACATGGACTGTGTTATTTCACTGGTTTCTGGCCTCCAAGGTTTATGTTGGAAAAAGTCAGCCACTCATCTATTTAAGGTTACTCTCTATGTGAGGAGTAACTTCTCTGAAGTTTCTTTTTCTTTGGTTTTGTCAGTTTGACTATTGTTTCTCTAAGCGTGGATCTTTCATTTTATTCCCCTACTTTGATTTCACTGGTCTTCATGCATGAGCAGATTAATATTTTTCATCAAAGTTGTAAAAAATTTGGCAGATATTTTAAAAAAAATTTTTTCTTCCTCTTTTTCCTCTTCTTTCTCTCTGGGACTCTCATTATGTGGCACATTTGATGGTGTCTTTCAGGTCTTGATCTCTTTCCTTCTGTTTTTCACATGATGTACAATGTACAATGCACAACTTACAATGACTTGTCTTCAGATTCACTAATTTCTTTTTTCCTGCCTGATCAATTTTGCCATTAAGGAAATTTTTCATTCCTACTGCTGTGTTTTTTAATTCCAGAATTTCTATTTGGTTCTTTTTATATTGTCTCTTTAATTATAGCCTATGCTGACTGAGACATTAGTCTCCTACTTTTCTTTAATACATTGGATGATGTCTTTTAGTTGTTTATTTTCAAATAGTTGATTTAATGTCTTCATTTAATAACAAAGCAGTTTCTATTGACTATATTTTCTTGTTACCAGACAGGGTTCTTTTGTTTCTTTGCATATCTCAGCTTTTTGTTTAAAATCACATTCAGCATTTTTCTTGAATAAACACCTCCCAGATTGTTGCGAGCTTTTGGTGAATTTCCAGGGTTATGAAAACATTGATTTTGTTAAGTGTTGTCAATATTCTCATTGATTTCATGGAACAGAAGATTTTCAGAGGTCTCTAACCATCATCTCTGCTGATTACGTAGCAGTTTAAACTAACTTCTGTTACAGCACTTTCACAAGTGACAGTGCATGGCCTGCTATGTTCTCCCACTAGGTCATTACCTTCTGTAGGTCTCACTGACCTCTTTATCCACTGCTTCAAGAAAAATAGCAGGCTGTTGAAGAAATGAGTTTATTGAATCCCCAAAGAAAATAACCATTGAGAAGAAACTTAGGTGTTATCTTGGGTTCCATATCATTTTCCCTTAATTCTAGAGAGTGCTAGAAAAACTTTTCTTGTATCTGTACCTAGATGGTGGGAGGATTCTAACCTAATGGTGCCACTTATTTATTTACTATTTGAGATTTTTTGAAATAGGGTCTCACTATGTAGTTCAGGCTGGCCTTGAACTCAATATAGCCCAGGCTGGCCTCAAACTCATGGTGATCCCCCTGACTCAGCCTCCCAAGGGCTAGATTATAGGTGCACACCACCACGCCCAGCCTGGTACCATTTATTAAGTGGGTGTGTGAAGGTGATTTTTATAATTATTTAGAGCTTTTGTTTTCTCATATAGGCAATGCAGATAATATAACTTAAGATCATGATTTTTGACCCTAGTACTGTTTAAAGGATTAACTGTGTCAACACAGGTAAAGCCCATAACAAAGCTCTGCTCCCCTATAATTACAGGTATTTATTCTTGGCCTTTTCTAAGCTCATGGAACTTAGGATCACTTTCTTTTAATCACTTCCAGTTTAACCTGAGCCGGGGTATGGAAAATACCCTGGCCGACAGCCACTGATGGACAGTGGTGTCTGGGGATGTCTACTGAGCTCTGAAACCCTCGACTACTCACCCATGCACTGGGCTGATGGAGAATGCCTGCTGCTGATGGTGTGCAGAGTGGGCTGAGCAGCTTTCCTGGCAATGGGCAGTAGAGCTGGGGAAGGCAAGCTATCCCAGGACTTTGTAGAAAAGGAAGCCATCCATACACCCTCAGACAGCAAAGCAGAGGGCCCCTGCGCCCCCAGAAGTCATCCCGGAGAAGAAAGCTAGCTCATCATCATGCTCTGCCCTGAATGTAGCAAGGGAAAGTGATGCTGAGACCTCTCTAGTTTATTTATACGCACTTCCTGGAATGGTTTTTCTCAAACAGAATATATATATTTTTTAAATTTGCAAGCTGATCCTATTAAAGAAAAAGAAATGCAGTCTTGCACAATGGCTCACTCATGCAGAGTCTCACAGGATGGGAGTGGCCCTGTCAGGACTGCACAGCAGGTATGACTGGAGTCCAGGATTCTTTCCATTTCACTTGCCACCTCCCTGTTAGGCCACCTCCCACACAGCACCTGAAGTGACATCTGACCACGTACTGACCCGAATGAATCACGGGACATCCTTGTTTGTAGCTATCTTGTTTCCAAGAAGAGATCTCAGACCTCAGATGTTTGGGTTTGCAGGGTTTGGGAACAAGATTTAGGACCAAGAGGGTGGATTTCAAGCTCAGGCTCTGGTGTGGACCAAGTACTACTCAACTTCTGTGGGCCTCAGCTTTTCTACCTGGAAATGGGGGCTTGGGACCCCCCTTCCTGTTTTCTCCTTTTGGTTGTTCTGAAGATCACTGAATCAAAAGGCATGGAGAAGAATTCTCACTGCCAGCTTCTTCAGATAACCTGTTCATGAAGATCTTCCTTGAAGGCTTGAGTGGCAGTGTGCTGGTGTTTATGGTTCTATTTGGTTTCAATAACTACAGCCCTGGAACTCTTATTAGAGGGTTACTCTGGATCCTTGGCTGTCAGAGACAAACTGTGCCAGAGTAGCCGGAAGCTTGTCATTTTGTTCCACACCTAGGGGACACCATGTGATATGGGTGACTCAGCCCAGGACAATGTCCTACATCTCCTGCTCATATTTCTAAGTGCCAGCAGGACTCAGAGATCTGGATGTCTGAGAGGCATCTGGATTTACTCCCCTCCAAGCCTGGTTTGTCTTTCTCACTGTAGCACATGGTACCACCAGTACCCAGGTGCCTGCCATTCTGATGTGCTCCTGCGCCCCCAAATTTGGTGCTATTTCTATGTGAAAATTGCACTTTTCTTGTGAACATCCATACTGCCTCCTCTCACCACATAGCACCCGTGTCTTCTGGGTAGGGCAGGCCACACTGCTGCCTTCACTGGTCCAAGCAAATTAAGAAAGTCTTCTGGTCACCTTGGTTTCAAAATGCTCCCAGCAGCTTTTGTACAGTTGTTCATTCAGGCACTTATAGGACCATGCACAGCGGTGTGGAAAACAAGACTCCGAACATGATTCTTCTTAAAAACTTCATCATCTGTTCATCTTATACGAGAAACCCACAATAAAAATGAGCAAAATAAAAGATAGATAATAGGAAATAGGGAGACAGATCATTCCTGAAGGAGAAAGGGATTAAGAAATTGGAGCAGGGAGGGAGGGAAAGGGATAAGGGATTAAAAAAGGAACAGGGATGTGCTGCATACATGCATCCACTTCCCACAAGGAGTGTAACCATTGTGCACTGCAAACATGTGCAAAAACAGCAAAAGGGAAGGGAATCAGGAGACAGATGGGGGGTATGTAAAGGGTGGAACAGAGTATGAGTAGGACTGAGAACCCAGAAATGGAAGGTTTGAGTACTGATCAAACCTTGCCTGAAGCCTACCCGACCAGCCTGTTCATTTGGGTGAGTCTGAAAATTGTCCTTATGTTTTGAAGACAGTCACTATTGGGCTTTCTGTTATTTAAAATCAAAAGCATCCAAACTAATAAAATTATTCGAACCACTGTCTGGTCAAGCAGTACCTAGTTTTAAAACCAAATCAAGCGTGTTCACATTACGCCATTACCATCACCTGGTCCGAGGTGGTAGTCCCTTGCCCTGCACTGGACCCCTGCCGGCAGCCCCTACTTCGCCTTCCTGCCTCACTTCCAGCCCTTCCGTGTGGCCTCTACACAGCAGCCCAGATATCAGTTACAAATGGAAACCAGCTCCGCTCGCTTTCCTGAGTAAAAGTTTTCCTTAGTCTTTCATTTACCCCGAAACCAAGCTGCCCTTCCCCACTCTCCCTGTGCCCTCCAGTCCTGCTGGGCAGAGCTGCCCTGGCCTCTCCTGCTGCTTGGCTGACTGTGCCCCACTCCGCGACTCTTGGTGCTCCTGGAGGAGCCAGGCCGGGGCTGACGAGCCTGGGTCTGCTTTAGGAGGATGCGGCTGACTCCCTGCACCTTTCTGTTTGTTCGCATTGCTTTGACCCCAGGGCCGGCAGAGCCTGCTCTGATCCCCTTCCTTTTCCTTTACTACCTGACCCGCAGCAGTGGTTTGTCCTCTTCATGCCCTTTCTCTCCTTTACAAGACCTGCTGAAGACAGGCTGGAGGATGAGGAGCCCGATCAGAGCTTGAGAGTGAGGCAGTTATATTAAAACTCTGATTTAGCAAGGTTATTATTATTTTTTTATTGTTGTCAAAACTGGGTTTTACAAGGGAGTGCACAGATGGGCCTGAGAGAAGGTTCAGGAAGGAGCCTGATGAAGTTCGGTCACCCAGACTCTTTGTTACATCGAGTCGGTGGCAAATCCTGGGTGCATGCCCGTGGCTTCCTGGCAGCAGAATCTAAATGCTCTGCTGGCTGCCTCCTGCCTCTTACCTAGAAGGGTGCAGCAGCTGCGGAGGGAGCGCAGATGAGCGGCGCTGAGGGGAAGACAGGGAAGCCTTTGTAAGGGAGCCCAATGGGTGGGCAGAAAAGAACAGGTGGAAGGCGCCCGGGCCGGGAGCAGCTTGAGTCGGGAGTTGTCACCATGGAGGCTTTGGAGCTTTTGTCTTTGGCCTTCGCATAGGGCCCGCCCAGCTCTGATCACCTTGGAAACGTGGCGCCCATCACTGCCTCACTACCCAGAACCGGCTGCTGCTCCACGCACAGAGCCTGGAAGCCCTCCAGCTCCACTCCATAGTGTCTACAGCGTGCGCCATCCCTTTTACAGATGAATAATACAAGGCGGGAGAAATCTAGGGGCTGCCGGGATTCACACACTGCAGACCCAGAACTCCTAACCTAAGCCTGCGGGTGTGGGAAGACGCTGGAGCTATCCCCCTGCTAAACAGTCAGAAAAGGGAGCTCCACGGCCTCCCGGAAGCCCTGGGGCCAATGAGCCTGCAATTCTGTTTCTTTCAAAGAGACATTTGGAATCACACCATGGCTCCTGTTAGAAACATCGAAGCTTCAGGTTTGGGTCCCAAGAGCAGTCAAAGGAAGGCGCGTGGAATGCCCAGTAGAAATCAGTAACGCACCCCGCCACCTGGCCAGGAGGCCTCTGGCTTTTCCGAGAAGGGCACATCCTTGGCTGGCGGCCCAGAAAGACTTTATCACTGAGAGGGCACTGCCACCTGGTGGTATCACCTAAGCACTGAGCCGTCTTCACCTCTCTGCTGAGGATATGCAGGCCAGATCTTTGCTTTTCTACCCCTCTCCTTTTCTCTTAATTTAACTGACATGACAGGGTGGATCCTTAATGATCTTTATCTAGACAGGGAACATAAGAAATGATGTCCTTGTGGGGGGAAGACAGTTGAGCTTGTATCTGAACAAAATGAATCCACAGTGTCTCCACAGCAAGGACAGCAGAAATCCTATCAGTTTCATGGCAACAAAAATAAATTAGGCCAACTTTCTTGCTGCTACATGTATTTATTATATATGTAGGAAATTTTTAGAATATCCCTTACCTTTAAGAGAAAATATGGATAAAATTTAGGTACTATCTAATGGATATTTAATTTCTTGATAATCATTTGGATGGCAGCCCTGTTCTCTCCCCCAGGAAATTGTCCCATGGAAGGCCTTGCAGGGTGCTGTGGGAGGTCCTTTCCTTCGGAGACAGCTTGGTGGTTTGTTGGTGTGTGCACTTCAACTCCGTTTCCTGGCCACTGCTCAGCCCATGTGTGACTCCCGCTCTGGCCGGGCACTGGGACTTTCCTGCCCTGCCCACACTCCAGGGCTGAGTCAGTGATGCTCTGTGGGTGCTGGAGCATGGCCAAGTGGCATCTTGTGAGTTATGCATATGTGCCCTGATTTTCTGCACCTGCAAAACCAGCAGGCAGGTCCTGGACCTCAGGGCCCTGATGCTATTGGTTCAGTCTCCCTTGTCTGACCACTCCCCACGTCCACCCAGACCCAGAAATGCCTGTCGTGGCTCTCAGCTCCCTGGGATGAAGCTTTCTTCCTTCACACCTCCATGGGGCCTGGGCCAGCCACCCCACCCACTGGCCTTCTAGGCCTCCATCATCCTGCTGTCATCCCCATTTCCCTCTGGGTGGCAGGTCCTGCCGGGACTCTGCACCTGCCACACGTCATCCCTGATGTGCTGCCTATGTGGGTCCAGAGGTGACTGTCCCTGAGTCAGCATTACAAACCTAGTAGTCCCAGGCTCTGCAGAGGAGGCAGGAGGGCAGAGCCACCTCGAGCTCTGCGCATTGTCACTCTGGAGGAAGACAGCTTGGCAGGGCCTTATATTTTGACATATGGAGTCTTAAATTGTCATGAGTTTTAAATCTTGGCAACTTATTCTGAAATATTTCTAAGCAATGGTCAGGCCATGCCCACATCAGCAGAGGTTGGCTTTGACTGATGAGTGCCATGGCAGACTCTCAGGGAGCATATAACGTGCAGGTCATGCTCCGGGCCTGTCAAGTCACATTTCTGTCATGTCATCCCATGGGCCAGGGTACAGATACAAGGCAGAGAGTTAAGTTGCTGGTGCCAGCTCATGATTTAATAAGCAGCGTTTGGAGTGCTGGCAGCTGGGGTTGAGTTCCCACAAGTGAATCCTAGGGCATTTTCTCCTTTCTGTGTAAGAGCCCAGATCCCTGGAGGGCATGGCCCAGGTTTTACACTGATAGCTTGGTTTTAAGGAGCATTTTCTACGTGCTTGGTATGAACATGTTCTCTTGTTCAAATCTGTGAGTCCATGTTCATATCTGAAGGATTCAGGTAGCTTGGATTGGAGAGTGACTTTCCTGCAGGTCTCCAGCCTCCTTCCACACAGCTGGGTGTCTGAATACCTGTGCTCAGCCCCAGGACAGACTCAACAGGGGCACTGGGGCTAGAAGATGAGCGTCTGGGGCTTGGCTTCCAGGCTTCCAGGCAGCCTCCTGCAGGGGCGCATGGGTCTGAGCAGCAACTGGGGTCAGCTCACTGGGCTCGTTTCCACTTGCTCCTCTGTAGTGAGAGGCACTTCCAGGGTCCCCTGCTGCCCATCTCACTCCCCAGGGCGTAGGCTATGGCATTGATGGTGGGCACTGTTTTGGCAATCAGGGCAGGCACCTGTTGGGGCAAAAAAGTCCAGGAATGATGTTTCAAAGCCTCCTCTCCTCTCTCTGCTCCCACCTAGTGATTTCAGTCCCTTTTTCCCCGCAGCCACCAATCATTTGTCCTGGGCTCCATTCCGCAGCCCCTGGGCCATCCCTGACTGCCTGGTGACGGTGCACGGCCCTCAGGCCATACAGGAACGCAGCCACAGCCAGACTCAGGCATCCCCGTGTGTGGGTGTGTGCGTGTGTGTGTGTGTGCGTGTGTGTGCGTGTGTTGTGTGTTCACCCTCCGGCTGCCTTTCCCCATTGTCTCCACCCGGTGTGGCTCAGGACATGAGTGGAGCAAGGCAAACTCTCCTCACAGTTTGAATATTAAAAGGAAGAACGAAAAAAGCAGCCAGAGAGGCAGAGCTGGACAGGGTTCTAGCCTTGGCTGTACCTACCATCTGCAGTTTGGGGGAGAGGGAGCTCGCGTCGGCAATGGTTGCGTAGAGGTGCAGGAGGGCATAGGGGCCCCAGCAGAACATCAGTGTCCGGGCTGGCAGAGAGGTGTTCATCTGGGGAAACAACATTGGTTTGGATGCCACAGCTCCACACAGGCAGGGAGACCAGGCCAGCACTCAGTACCTCTAAGAGGCACAGGAACTTGGGACCTGCCCGGCCTCTCTGCCCTTTAAGGTCCATAACTTGGAGGTGTCATTTAAAAAGGTCTCAGTTACCTTGTTTGTAAAACGGTCTGACAGTACCTGGCTTGTGTGGAGAAAGGGACAGGGGTGGGGTGAGGTGATAATGAGCTTCCTTTCAGGGCTCTGCTCTGTAAGATAAATCCTGGGCTCTGTGACTGTGTGCACGAGGGTCCCAGGCTAAGCTGCCCCGAGACTTGAGGCGCAGAGCCATCAGTGACTACAGCCACCTGGTGAGATTCATCTTTGGGAGTTTAAGGTTTCACATAGCAGAAGCACCTGAGAGTGGGTGATGCCAAGTACCACCTGGTGCCACTAGGGGGCGTACGACTCCCTCTCTGAGTCCGTAATGGAGTGGCCATGTTCGTACTAAAATTCCTACGCAAAATACCACTGTCTGTTTCCCATTGACATGTCTTTCTTTAACAAAGAAGGTGATTTAAATTGGAAGGGGCATTCTCTCTTTAATGTTGGATTTTTAAAATATGTTGATTGGAATAAATATTTTTCTTGAATTGTCCCTCAATTTGGTTGTGACCTCACTGTGGTTAACAAAAACAAAAAAAGTGCTTTGCATTGATGGAGAGGTCCCTGAGGAGAAACTTAGCCGGAGGAGAAACTGGGATCTCAGCTGGAGGCCATGCCATCTCCGGAAGTCGCTCAGCTTGAGCTGAGGTCCCCAGGGCTGTGCTTGGCATTAGCTAACGCCGGAGCTAATGGTTTAAAGTCCACAGGAATAATGGGGAGTCCTGGTTGCAGCCTTGGGTCCTGGCTGACTGAAGCTCCAGCAAATGTGGTGACTTTGTGTTTATGAACAGGGGTTGGGATGAACAGCATGGGGACAACCTGGGAGGCTGAGCCTTTGCCAGCAGTGAGCTAGGAGCCAGCAGAAGGGACCCTCATCCTCCCTCTGCGATGTCAGAGGAACGTGAGTCACCAGCTAATATAAATTTGCAGAGTGCATTTCTACTTAATAAGAAACACCTAATGAAGAGGCAGGTTAAGGATCTTAATAAAAAAAGAGTCCCTTTTTTGTACCTAATCAAGCACTTGGATCATAGAGGCCCCAACCTAGGTTTGGACCCGTCTCTGCTATTACTAGATGTGTGGCTCTCAACAACTTCCTATTCCTTAATCCAGTCTGTGACACAGGGATGGTGAGGCTTTCCTTCTCCCATGAGAGGTCACAAAGAGGACATGACAATACACATAAAGTAATATTATCATCTGTTTTTAAAAAATAAATCTTTGCTGCTTGTTAGGACTCATTGCCAAATCATCCAGGCAAGAAAGAAAACTTCCACAAGGGCATATTAGTGCAGAAATTTGGAAATGGCCAGGAGGGCTTACTCTGAAGCTTTTTCTTTCTTGGACAAATGTGCTTGCAGGTGCAATTTTCTGTTGTGGGTAACAGCCTGTGACTGTGATTAAATTGAACATCTCCAAGCAGTTTAAAAGTCACATTGAAAGGGCCCATTATTTTGGACCAAGCCTCAAAGCCTTGGGAAAAACTGAGTGTAGGAGCATGGACTGAGCCCCTCAGGGAGCCCTGGACTAGGGGAATCTGGCCCATACTGGTCCTCATCCTCCAGGCCTTGGCAATCCAGCTGTAAATGCCCATGCTTCCCACAAGCTGAACTGCCTCCTGATCACTGCAGACCCAGAAACCCCTGACAGACATTTGTCACTGTGTGCACTTTCCCAGGTGTCCTGAGAGGTACCTGTGCTGCACCAGGAGCCAGGTCCTTACCTGGAGACTGCTGTTCCTTGCCATTTTCTGCTCCATGAGCTGGTAGGATGTGAACGTGATGAAGAGGGGTACGAGGAAGCTGAAGAAGGCCATGGTGAAGAGGAAACTGGTAGAATTCCTACAGACAGGGGTAGGGGAGTGGGGGGTCAGTCCTCAGGGACGGCCAGCTGCCTTCCTGGGCCCCCAGCCTCTGCATGGGACACTCAGATAAGTGTGGCCACTCCTAGTCCCAGCTAAACTGTGCACAGCAGCCAGTGAGCTATGGGTTCTCCTGGAACTTGCCTTTGGGATCCTGGGCTGGGACAAGAAAGAGGCCTCTCTGAAGTTCAAGTGTTCAGCCCTGCTCTCCCATTTGTTCCCTAAGCCTGGAGAATGGGACACTTTCATTTGGGAAATGTGTTGATCAAATGGTGGAGAAGCCAGTGGACCAAAGAGGGAGGAACACTCAAGGAGAGTTCTAGGTGCAGGGATCTGTAAGGAGCCTGTGGATGACACAGACTGGACACTGTGTTCCTGAAGGGGCCACAGAAGAGCCGGGGTCTTAGTGGTCATGGGAGGGTGGAAGGGTTGACCAGGGACAGTGGGAGTCCCATTACATGAAAGGAAGACCATCCAGGGGATGCCTTGGAGCTGTGCGCTAAGGAGGGTAGAAGGATGGGTGCCAGAAACACCGGGTGCCCCAGCCTGGGTGTGCTGTGAGGGACACTTGGATGAGATAGATGCTGCAGTTGGCTTCACCTGGGAAGCCTTTACATGAGTCACTGCCAGATGTTGGTTCTTATTTTTTCCCTATTTCCCTGCTCTCCCTTCAACTTCTCCACCCCTCCCTATTTATAAAGACTTTGCTTCCATTTTATCATCTCATATTAATTCCATTCCCTTCTTTCCTATCCCCAACCCATCCCACTTCACCTTCCCCTTTGGACCTTTTCTTCCTACTTCACATTATCAATTATACATTTTGATCCTTATTTAGATCCTTATTTAGATTTTCACACCTATTTGGCATTGCCATGTGACAGATGAATGCACTGTGGCTCTGGTGGAAGTAAGCAGGGACTGGAACCCATGTGACCTCCTCCAGCACAGCCCTTAAAGGCTTTCCCAGTGCCTCTGCTCCCCAGAGCCACATGGATGGGGCCGTACAAGAACACAGTCTCTAGGATAGTGGGAACTATTGTACATTTGGGGATTGGCTCACAGAAGATGCACAGGACATTCCTAGAACTTATCTTCATGCCACAAAGGTGCTCCCAACCTCCATGCAGAGATTTGATGCTCTGAATCTGTGGATGGCATGAATCTCTCTAGAAACCAATGAAGTCGGAGGTAGGACAGCTCACTGTGCTAGAGATGGCTCAGGGGAGGCATGGCTGTGATTGTTACAGCCCACCCAAGCCAATGGCTCACTGCATCTTGCCACATTCTTCTGAGTAACATTCCTATCCCTTGGGTAGTCTTCAGAATGGGCTTCTCCTGGGCCCACTGCCAGCCTGCAAGGGGATATTGTGACTGAGGGGCTGAGATTGTCTGGCAGATGTCAATAGTTCCCCATTTGGGTTTTCTGCTGGGACACCTTGTCATGGGGACTCAATGCCACAATCCACCTGGAAGGCCTCAAAAGCTGCTCCCTCCACCTCACCTGTCCCTCTTGGAGTAGTCCAAGGTGCAGCAGGTCCCCAGAGGCTCATAGTCATAATGGCCCCAGCCCAGGAGGGGCAGTGCTGCCCAGAAGGTGGAAGACAACCACACGAAGAGCACAAGGGGGATGGCCGTGCTCCACGCCAGCTGGCTGCCTGCATGGGGCAGAGGAGGAAGAGGAAGCCGTGAGGAGGAGATCAGCTGATCAAATCGGAAACAGTGGATTTCAGGATCTCATAGTGTCCCTAAGCCCACCTCTGGTTCTTGTTGCCCCAAGCAAGTTAAAGGTTTCTCTGACCCTTTTTCTCCCACAAGGCAAATAATATCCCTGCTGCAGAGGATGCTATGAAGAATAAGAGAGATAATGGATGGTGAAAGTCTCCAGCAGGCAGTCTGTGGCATCTTCTTCAGAGAACAGAGAGAAGGAGCAACTGAGGTGGATGTAATGGAGGAGGGAGGCTCTGGACCATACTCACCACAACCTCAGCTCTTGCTCCTTGGACACCCTGAGAACTTGACTTGGGGACTGGGATCTATCTCACTGCTATGGCAGAGGCTGGTCCAGGCAGCAACTTGGGTGTGACCTGGATGTCCTCCTGTCCTCTCTCCCAGGCCCGTTCTCTCCTGCGCCTCATTCAGCCTTCCCTCACCATGGACCCCTGGACCTGGTCTCACAAAGGCTTTTCCAAATCATGGCCCCCACCCCAGCCCTGTGTCTGTGGTTTATCTGTTGAGCTCTGTGCAGATGAGAGCTGGGGCAGGTAGAGGAGAGAACCCTGCAGTTCCACAGAAGAGCCAATCTGAAGCTTCCCTCATCCAGGACTCTGCTCCTGCTGACCCCGCTGTACACGGAGTGTGCTTGGTTGTGTCCCCTGGTGTAGACTGAATGTCTGTGTCCCCTCAAGGTCCACATGCTGAGGCCTAATGCCCAGCGTGATGGCATTTGAAGGCGGGGCCTTTGAGAGGGACCCAGTCACGAAGGCAGCGGCTCCATGGTGAGATTAGTGTTCTTGTGAGGAGCGTGAGAGAGATGTCTTACTCCTCCAGTGAACACCCAGCAGGAAGATCTGCAGACCCAGAACCTGACCATGCTGGAATGCTGATCTTATTTTTCCAGCTACCAGAAATGGCAGAAGAAGCTCTTTGTATTTTTTTTAGAGCCACCCATACTACCATACTTTGTTGTAGTAGTCCAGGCTAAGATACCCTCCACCTCAACTCTGGACACAGTGAACTCCTTGACCCATGCACAGTCTTTCCAGCCCTAGAAACAGAGAACTGGGCCATATGCCCAGGGATAGCAGTCACGGAGCAGGTGGACTCCAGCCCCAGCCGTCACCCTGCTCTCCTGCCCTGTCCAGTGAGTTAGCTGCTCTGCTCAGAGCTGAAGAAGCCTGTGGCCACCTGAGAAGGTGGTGCATGCATGAATGCATACATGTGTATGTGGTGTATGTGTGTGCATTCGTGAGTGTGTGATGCTCCCAAGGGTAGTGGTGGGAGAGGTGTACTGTGGCCACGTGGCAATCTGTCAATGATCAAAACCACAAGAACAAAGGCAGCCTGGGACTGGAGAGGGCCAGTGATAGGAGGGACTCACTGGCTTGTGACTTCGCTGCTGGGCAGCAGCCACCATGGGAAGCACTGGGCCATACTCAGTCCCGGCTCAGCCCCCACTCATTGTGTGACATGGACAAGCTGCTCACTTTCTCTCTGTGTCTGTTTCTTAGGCTCAAGCCAGAGGGACACCGTGAGGGTCCACTGGGGCACAGGGCATGTTTATACACCTCTGGAGGCAGTGAATGTGGGTTTTTGCTTGTTTTTGTTTTGTGGTACTGAAGACTGAACTGAGGACCTTTGCACCAAGCTGTATCTCTTTAATTTTTTTAAATTTTGAGACAGGATTTTGCTAAGTGGCTAAGTTGCCCAGGATGGGCTCAAGCTTGTGATTCTCCTGCCTCGGCCTCACAAAGTGCTGGGATTACTTGTGTGCACCCCCACACCTGTAGAAAGCATTAAAAAATTTTAATGGGTATTAAAGTTGTAAGAACATTAAGTTTGTGGCAACTGTGGTGGGTTTTTAAAATTTTTACGCTTAATCTTAGCCAAAAGGCCAAGAAGTGATTTTTTTTTTTAAATTTTGAAGTGAGTCACTTATTAGACAAAACACCAAGGAACGACAAAACAGGTGGCACACTGCTTTGGTCAGTTATGATGCTGATGGCATCTGACAGTGGCCACCTGGTACATCTACAGCCGGAGGAGTCTGTGTGAAGCTCCGCCATGCTGTGGGGTCCCTGTGGCAGTGTGGGGTTCAGCCCCTCCACACATGCACACTTCATCTCCCTCTGCCTCCACAGTGCCTATCTGCAAGAGCATTTTCTGCATCCACAATCTCATTTGATTTTCAAAATAAAACTGTGAAGTTGGTTATTAAAACTTTGCAGAGGGCCGGGGATTTAGCTCAGTGGTGCCGCCACCTGGCTTGCAAGTGCAAGGACCCAAATTCGATCCCTGGTACCCACCCCGCCCAAAAAAAAACTTTGCAGAGAAAAAGAGAAAGGCTTGGGGCTGCCACCTCCCCCCCCACTCCTTTCCCCTAGTCGGATGCCACATGTAAGCCCAAGCCTGAATGGGTGGGGATACACTGGTCCCTCCCCCACCCTGCTGGGCGCCCCTCAGTCCCGGGCCAGGACACCTACGCGTGCAGTAGTGCTGATGGCGTCCCCAGGCGATGGCCGCGCTGCCGCTGATGCTGGCCAGTGCTGTCACAAAGCCCTGGAAACCGTGAGCCTGGCAGCCTCCGGAGCCGTAGGGCCAGCGCCTGTGGAGACACTGAGCACAGTGACCAGACCTCCGCCACCCTCTGCTCCCAGCGGCTTGGAAGTTTCCTGCCTGTCGCCCCGTGTTCCATGGGGCCTTAGCTCTGCTTCCCCTTGAAGACTGGGTGAGGCTGTAGAGCTAAATCCCCAGGAGGGAGGTGGAGCCAATTGCAGCATGGTGATTTTCACTGCCTCATGACTAGATCAAGGGTTCTCTCTGCATCATCAGGAGAGCTCATGCCTGTATTGCATTTTATTTATTTAAAACATTTTTTTTTTTTTGGTACTGGGGATGGAACCCAGGGACTTCTCATCAAGCTACATTCCGCACTGTTTATTTTTTTTTTAATTTTTTAAATTTTAATTTTAGCTAAGTGGCTAAATTGCCCAGGGATGAGGGGTGAAGGGAGGGCAGGGACAAGGGGAAAAAAATGAGAACCAAGACCTGTCATGTAAAGGTACAAGATCCCAATAATGAATGTAACTGTACTGTATACCTAAAATGTACCAATAAACTCAATGAGGAAAAAAACCCTAAAAATAAATAAAAAATAAATAAAACATTTTTTAAAAAAAGAGGCTGGAGTTATTTGCTTGGTGGACAGGCCCTGGGTTTGATCACCAGTACTACAAAGAAACAAAAACAAAACAAATATGAATCTTAGGAACACCTCCTCCCAAAGTGACACGGGGTGATCTTGGGTTCGCATAAGGAGCATCAGACACCAGTCAAGATCCTGTTTGCTTTTACGACACCCACTGAGGGTTGCTTTGGTGGCAAGCACTGTTTTAAGTAGTTTGTAAATACAGTTACTACCTCCAACCACCCACAGGAACTAAGCAATACTCCACAGTTCAGGGAAGCAGCCCAGGATCAAGGCCAGGCCACCCGGTTACTGCCGCTTGCTCTCCTGCTCTTGATCCCTGCCCCCTGCCCTACCCCACATCTCTGGCCAAGTTTGAGCAACCCCGGTGTTCCACAGATTCTTCAGGGATAACCCAGACTTCCAGCTCAGCCTAGGCCAGCTGACCTGCTTCTGCCCTGGCATCTGTTTTCTCTGTGTTGGAAGTGAGACTCAGGCCTGGCTGCCCGGGCCTGGAGGTCAGGCCCACCAGAGCTTGGGCATGGGGAGGGCCTGGTACCAGAGGAGGCTGGATGCAGCTGCAACGAGGGTGTTGAGGCTGAGACCGCTGTCTGCCAGGGCCAGGCTCAGCACGAGAAGGTGGCTGGGAGTCCTCAGCTCCGGGATCTTGCAAAAGGAAATGATGGTCAGGCTGTTGAGGCTGAGACCACAGAGCGCTGAAAGGCAGGGCTGGGGTTGGCATCAGGGCTGAAGTTCCACAATTCCTGCCCTGTGCCCTAGCAGCTCCTTGCTGCAGACCTGATCTTATGGGGATCCCCAGCATGGTGCGCAGGGAATGGGTCTAAGGCCCACCCCCCTCGGAAAGTCTGAAACCCATTTTGGCCGCCTAGTCCACCCTTTCTGAGTCTTTCCCTCCCAGACCCTGCCTGGCTTCTTTCTCTGGGCTCCACAGCAGCATGCTGCACCCCCCGCGGGCAGCCATGAGCTGGCCCCCCAGGTCCAGGCCCACAGGAGCTGGCAGCCAGGGCGACAAGTTACACAGCTGGCAGTGCCTTAGCTTTGGCTGGGTTCTGAGAACCCAGAGAGACCCTGTCCCAGCCCAGTTCCAGCCTGGCTCACCTTCCACCAGCAGCACTGTCCCCACAGCCAGCACCTCAAGCTCCCCAAAGCCAGTGGGAAGGGTCCCGGAGGCTGCCATCCTCAGCCCTCTCCCTGCCAGTGCCCAGCTCTCTGTGGGCTTGCAAGCCTGGCCCCGCCTTTAAAAAGGGCAGTGACACCAGTTGGCACAAGCAGGTTATCACGCCAAACCCTGGATTCCTGTCCCCTGACCCCAAATCACCCTCTCCACCCACACAGAAGGGACCCATTCATCGTTACACAGTGCAGTCTTTGTGAAGCCCGAGCAGAGTTCAGCTCATTCATATCAGCCTCATGGGGTGGGATCAAGGTCTGGGAATGCAAACGGTGTGTGGCTGAGGGTTGGATCGAAGTGTTGCATAACCACGGAGGGCAGAGAGGTGCTGGGTTGTGAGCTGCAGCTGCCCCTGAGCCCTGAATGGGAGCCAGGCCCTTCTAGGTTCACAGCTGCTGGTAAGCTGGGCATGCTGTGTGTGTGTGTGTGTGTGTGTGTGTGTGTGTGTGTGTGTGTGTGTTCACAGAGTCACATGTGTGTGGCTGAGGAAGGTTGAGGAAAGGATGAGCTTTGGGAAATCACCTGCACTTCCTGTCCCCTATAGAGCCTTTGAAGATTAAAAAAAAAAAAGTTCTAGATGACACATGCCTGTCACCCAGCACTCTGGGAGGCTGAGGCAGGAAGATTGCAAGTTGGAGCCCAGCCTGACAAACACAGTGAATTATTCCTTAGGAAAATTGTGTCTTAAAGAAAAAATGAAAAGGCCTGGGGATGTATCTTGATGTTAAGGCCCTGGGTTCAAATTCCCAGTAGAAAACCAATGAACCAACTTCCTAGATGGGACACTGGCATGGAAGGATAGGGTGTTTTCTGCCTGTGAGCAGCCCCATGACCCCTGGCCCACTGAGTTTTGCCCTCTACATATGAGGTCTTTTACAAGGTCTGTGCTGGCTCCCTTGAAATCTAAGGTTCCAAGGAACCATGGTCTAGAGCAACTTCGCTCAAATCAGATCAAGAAATGGAGCTCTCAGGGCTATTAGCAATCAGCTAATGATGACTGTGGTCAGACCTTGTGCTAAGGGGTCTGCTGTGATTCCTAAAACAACTCCATGAATTGATGCCATTATTCTATCCATCTCAGTGGAGGAAAATGAAGCTAAAAGCAGTTAAGAATCAGCCCCGTATCCCCTGTGATCTAGGGACTGAGTTGGAACAGAAGCTGCCCCTCTCACCCCCAGACTTGGTGCTGTAGCCTGGCCAAACACCTCGCTTTGTCTGCAAATGTCCTGGTCAAAACCTTTACTCTTGTGAGTCACCATATACTTCTAAGCCTCGTCAGCTCTTAGGCCCTGCTTATGGCCACCACCTCCCTGCCCCTTCTGATTTCTGTCTTGCTGACTGACACCTACATCTGTCTTTTTTCATACCTGCAAGATTGCACAAGAGAAAGAGAGAAAAGAAAGGACAAGACTGGAATGAGAGTAGACTTCAGCTAGACAGAAGCAAGAGGGAAAGCATCCCAGACAGAGGGAAGAAAAGGCAGCAGTGTGACATGAACCAGGTGGTACACACCTGCAAACCCAGTACTCTGGGAGGCTGAGGTGGGAGGATTGCAGTTTTGAGTCGACTAAGATGCTTAGTGAGATAGTGTCTTAAAGTTAAAAAAAAAAAAGGTTGGGGATGTGGCTCAATGCAAAGGCCCTGGCCTATTCCATAGTACTGGGGAAAAAATGGCATTGATATGGTAATGGGCAGGGATGGTCTTTTAGCTTGGTGAGGAGAGCTCCAGGAACAGTGTGAGTTCAGAGGACATCTTACTGGCTGGATGTGGAAGAGAAGGGATGGCAATCAGCATCTCCCATCACGGTAGTGTGGCATGAGTAAGGTGTTGTGTGTGCTCTGGGGTCTTTGCTGTCTGGGCCCATGGGCACAAGGAACCACAGGACCCTGAAAAGCTGACAGACCCAGGTAAGGGCACTGTGGAGCAGACCCCAAAGCCTTGGGGAGAAATGTGAAGAAGAAATGACTGAGTCAGCCGTGTGTCTGCTGCCAGGAACTGTCGAGCGTTTGCTGGCATTTTAAGCAGATTTGGTAGGGTGTGGCTGGGGGAGGGAGAACAGGTAAAAATTGGAAGTCCCTTCTCTAGAACTCAGAGACACAGCCCTGGACCCTCCTCGGAGCAGGAGCCCTGGATGGTGGGAAGATCGCTGTTTCGGGGAAGATACTCCCTGCCTGGAAGGGCCTCACTGAGAGGCAGTGTCTGGGGACCCGGTGTGCCTGAGCCATTCTGGGGAGGTAGAGGCTTGCCCAGAGGACAGCTGTAGTTCAGGAGCCCATGGGAGGCGTCTCCAAGGACTCTCCTGAAGCAGTAAGGCTCCTTCTGAGGAGGCCCTTGTGGGAAACCACAAAACTGAGCATTTAGTACTTGCAAGAGCAGCGATTCCCCAGGCCTTTGCTTGAGGCCACAGTTCTGTCTCCATCTCCCCCTGCCCAAGCAACCCAGGGAGGCCTGGAGGGGTCTGCACCCCACCCTCAGCCCAGGCCATCCAGGAAGAGCTAAGCTGCTGAGAGCTTTGGCTGGGGCTCCCCTCCCTAATCCTCAGCCTGTCCCCTGTTTATTTGATGGGGGGGCAGTGGCTGGTGAGCAAGTGGACAGCTGCTGGGTTTGCTGGGCTGGCACAGAGCAGTCTGGGGACAAGCCCCTGCCCAGGCCAGAGAGGAGCCAGGAGTCATGTGGGTGGCTGTGGGCATGTGTTGGCTCCTGGCCCTCGGGAGGCCCCACCAGGCCTGGGGTTTCTGCCCCTCTCAGTGCAGCTGCAGCATCCAAATACTGAGCGACGGCAGCAAGGCCAGGTATGGCCCTTCTCCCTGGGTGTGCAGGGTAGGCTGGCTTGGGACAGGTAGCGTGCCCAGCAGCGGCTCCCCTGGGCCCTTGGGCAAGCAGACTCTTTAGCCCATGGCTGGGTGAGAGCACTGTCTCCCTGGCTCTTGAAACCAGGGAGACTGCTGTAGCCAGGCAGTTCTGGGTCCTTTACATACGTGAGGGACAGTTCCAGGAAGTTCTTCCTGCACAGGCTGCTGGTGGAGGGGAGCCCTCTTTCAATACCTGGGGAGTCTCCTCCTTACCTCTTCTCTTTTCTCTCTGCTTCCTCCCATTTCATCCTCCTCCCCGTGTCTCCCCACCTCCTTCCATCCCACACCCTGCTCCATTTTCACAGCTGGCCTCCACGGCTGCCTGACCACAGCCAGGTGCTGCCTGCCAACCCCACCCCTGATAGGCCCACCTGGCTCCTCTTCTTTCTCCCCGTGGGTCTCCTCTGCAGCCCCCAGGAGCACCAGCCCTGACTCCGTCCACAGGTGCCGGGAAGGCCAGGAGCAGCTGTGTTCCCTTCACCCTCAGCCTCATCCGTGATGTTCTGCATCCTCCCTCTCACTCTGTAAAGCCCCCATGCTCTCCTTTCCCTTGTCTTTAGGACCTTCCCCAGGCCATTGTGCCCGGAGACACCTGCTCTTCTGCTAAGTCTCTTCTTCCTCTCTTCACCTACGTTTACACCACTTTGCCTCCAACTTCCTCAGCTAATGTTCTCTGTGTTTCCCATTCCATCTCTGGCTCTTGGTCTTTCCTATTATCTTCCCAACTCTTCTTCCTGTCTAGACGAGTACTGGGAAGCTACTGATGCTTTCATATCAGGGAAATAATGTTGCTAACTTTTCAGTGATCCTGGCAATGGGTGTCGAGTTGATTGGAGGGGAAGGGGGGTGGAGAATGGGGAGCAGGTGTGGCCTGGGGTGCAGGCAGAGCTAGCGTCTGATGCTTTAACTCAAATGCTGGGTAAGATTCCTTTCACCAGCGGTATCCAGGCTGAGCCTCCAACAGGCTAGGAAATAGCTCACGACCAAGGTCAGTGTTGCAAAGGGCTCCTCTCACCACCCACAGAGAACACTGGCCTCAAAGTCACACACCACACAGGATCAGAGACGGAAGAGGTCCAAGAATTAAGGAATTCTGACTCTCATTCCTAGAACTCTTCCCATCTGGGGGTGCAGGGAGCAGAGTTAGTGGTCAGATGAAACTGAAACTCCAAGGGTGGTCTCAGGGACTGGAATGTCAGCCAGTGTCCACCCCCTCCTCTGAGGCCACAGCTCTCACAGAGGGTCCTACTTCCCTGAAAGTGCCAGGTTGATGTGCACCAGCCCATGCTCATGGAGAGCCGCACAAGGGGAATCAGGTCAGGGCAGGCTGCTGGGGGCCCGGCTGTCCCCAAGGGCCAGGGGCACAGACTGTGCACTTAGGTGGACCTCCTGCTTTGTTCCACACCTTTCCGCACACCCAGCTCTAGCCCAGGCATTCCCAGAGCCCCACCCTGGCTACCCGCCCTCGTCCACAGAGTCTGCCCCTGTGGACACTGGGGTTGTTGAAAGGGCCCAGGCTTGGCACCAGGACAGATGTGTCCTCAATGCATTTTGTGGCATTTGCCCCACCCGGAGCTGAGCTGTTGGCTTGGGTTGGGTTCTTTCTGCCTTGTTTTTTCCCCAGTCCACAACATATTTTCCCATAGACTTACTTCCTCCACCCATGCCCAGACTTCCCAGTTGCTGACACTCCAGCCTGTGTGTCTCATCACCCGAAATGATTGTCAGCTGGATGCTCTTTTTCCCTGAGGTAGATCACAGTCTATCAAGGATCAGGGCTGAGACTTCGATTCTCCTCTGAAAGGCCCATCACTCAGTAGGAGTCTATTCTTTATCTGAGGAACGTCTTTTGAGGCAACATTAACAAGGAGAAATGAACCCAGCCAGCACCTCTGAGCAGTGTGGGTGTGAGTTTGTGTGTTCAGCTGACTGAAGGCTTACCCTCAGGGTGCCCTGACTTGGCAGTAAACAAGAGAATAAACTCTTTCAGCAAAGCACATGTGACACCCACCCCAGTTGGGCAGAGAAGCCTTGCAGATGAAACTGGCCCTGCACAAGGTCCAGGTCCTGGTGCTAGCTTCCACAATTTCTGTCTTTGGGGGACTGTTCCTTTTCATTTAATCCCATGTGAGTGTGCTACTCGCACTGATGGTATAAATCACCACCCTGGATTATTGGCTCCTTTGGGACTGAACTGGCTCCTGGAAGCGCTCTGTCCTCAGCTTTGGCCTCACTAACTGTTATATATCACAAACATTTACTACTACAAAAAAAGAAACTATGAGAAATGAAAAGCCGAAACGGTTACACAAATTGAGGTATACTTCAACTGAGGAACCTGCTGCACACTCGCATGCAGGGAAACCCTTTGTTCTTAGGGCTGCGGGCACGTGGGCTGTAAGGGGACACCCCTTAGCTTCCAGGGCTTTCAGACCATCGAGCACCCAAGTGGCCCTCCTGGGTCCCCACTGAAAGGCTATGCTCTGAAAGCAAACTTCCCAGGGGGAATCGGGAGGCCACAGGCCCCAAGGGCCCTCTCCAGACCCCACCGCGGCCTGGATGCTGATACTGGGATTTTGTGTGAGCCCAATCCGCAGGGCGCATAAGGGAGAGGAAGGGGATCCCGAGCTTGCAGGACCCTGGTTCAGAGGCCCTGTGTATTTCTATGTCCATCCAGGACGGTGTTGTGCAGCGACCCCGACATGACCCTGCCGCCTGCCCCCATCCCCGCGGACACGTGCAGGCTGCGTCTGGAGCGCACGGCCATTCGCAGGGTGCCGGCCCAGGCCTTCCGGCCGCTGGGCAGCCTGGAGCAGCTCTGGCTTCCCTACAACGCTCTGGGCGAGCTCAACGCGTTCATGCTACGCGGCCTGCTGCGCCTGCGCGAGCTGCGGCTGCCGGGGAACCGCCTGACGACCTTTCCCTGGGCTGCGCTCAAGGACTCCCCCCAGCTGCGTCTGCTGGACCTTCATGCCAACCGCCTGGCGGCCCTGCCTCCCGAGGCCGCCCGCTTTCTGGTCAACCTCACCTTTCTGGACCTCTCCAGCAACCAGCTGATGAGGCTACCCCAGGAGCTGCTGCTCACCTGGGCGCATCTGAATACCGGGTCCTTCCTTCCTGGTCTCCACGCCAGGCTGGTTCTAGGTAAGAGATGGCGGTGTCCTTCACCTACAGCTATCCTGGTGAGCCCTAGGGTTTTGGGCAAGTGCCCAAGCCTCTTTAGGTCGCCATTTTTTACCTGGAAAGAGGAAACCATACCTGCCTCCCTGTTTGAGTGCACATGGTGGGAGATCTGCTAGGCATGGGCTTAGGGACTCAGGCCCCAAGCCGAACTGTGCCAGGTTCACATTCCAGAGTTTGGGTGAGGAAGAGGGGGGAAAAGCAGCTGCACCCTCATTTAGTGCTCAAAGAGATGAGCAATCGGATCTGAACATACCCTCCCAAACCTTTTATATTTCCCTTTCCAAATACATCAAATATGTATGTGTATGTAAATGCGTAAGGTATCCTGGATTATTAAGACTATCAAATTTAATAGAAAACTTTGAGGGATTAAAATAACATAGCATCAAATGCCTTCATCTTGCATTTCAAAAATCCAAACATTTAAAAAGGAATTATGCTTCAGAATTTAGGACACAGACCCCTTTTCTGTACAACCTTTTTGAGGTGGGAATGTGTAATGACCTGCTTCCAGTTCTTTAAAAATGGTGTAAAAAGAACAGGGAATATATCAAATAATTCAATGTTCCAGCCTTTCCACCTTACTTTTTACCTCATTTGAGCCTCGGTCAAAGAAAAGCATTGATCAGAGTCACACTGTCATTGCCAGGGTGAGGTGATATGGAAAAATGACACACTGGGAGGACAGGGGTCAAGGGTCAGGGTCAACAAAGCATTTTTAGAAAATGTTCTGACATATTGTAGTTATTGTAAAAGTTCTTCCTGGCCTATGGCTTGAAAGGATTAGTTTAAGGATGATCGGCATAATAGCCAACTTTGTTGGCATTCTGTGTGGTCTATCCAATGCTCTGTGATGGATCTTTGTGTATACAGGAGCCTTAAAGGAAAGTAATGCTATTATTTAGAGTGAAGGGTGAGATTTAAGGTCCCAAAGTTGGCAAGGTGAGGAGCTGGGCCTGGAGGCCAGTTTTGCTGGCTCTGGACTAGGAGCCTCCCCCATCCTACCCAAGGGGATGTAACTCTGGGCTCAGGATCACGTCTCGCCTTTTGTCTCCCACAGGGCTGCAGGACAACCCCTGGGTATGTGACTGCCGGCTCTATGAGCTGGTCCATCTCCTGGATGGCTGGGCCCCAAACTTGGTCTTCATTGAGACCATGCTGAGGTGTGCCAGCCCACATAATCTGGCTGGAGTGACCTTCAGCCAGCTGGAGCTGAGGAAGTGCCAAGGTCCAGAGTTCTATCCAGGGGTGACCAGCATCAGGTCCCCTTTGGGCAGCTCTGTATTGCTACGCTGTGGAGCCATTGGGGTCCCTGGGCCAGAGATGAGCTGGAGAAGAGCCAATGGGCTCCCACTCAATGGCACAGGTAGGTGGGTGAACTACAAGGCCTTCTCAGTAAGCCCATGATTGAGGTAAGTGGATGGGCACCTCAAGTGGGAAGTGGGCAGGGCCAGAAGGAAAAGCTGTAATCTAGGCTGGACTCTCCCATCTTAGTGATGCTGATGGCTCTCCACTTGTCCTGTCACATCCCACTAGCCTCTACATTAGAAACTCATGTCATTGCAGGAGGAAAAAAAAAGCTGACTTATTGATAGAGACATTTGTTAGTATACTTCATGCTTACAGTAAGATTCCCAGTGTCACCAGAAGTAATTGGGAATATGGGTCACCATGGATTGAGCTCTTCAAGTGGGTCTGTGCTTAGTGAATTATGCCCACTGTGCCATCAAGCAACCAAACTATCCTTATGTTTGCATACAAGGGAATGAAGGATCTGAGAGGCTGAATACGTGGGCCACACCACATAACGTGCATAAGAAGATTCCAACGCAGTCTAGCTGACTCCAAGGCGGGTACTATTTTGGCAAGGCTTTGTGGGCGGAGACAACTAATGTCTGTCATGGTGGCATCTGTGGGCAGGAGTCACAGCCAGCCACAGGCAGAAAGAGGGCTGAGGAGGAGCCATTTGTTAGCACTGATTCCCCTTCACTAGGCTGGCAACAGTTGCTTTGAACAGTGGGTTTGAAATGAAGTTATAAACAAAATGGTTAAAAAAAAAAAAAAAAAAAGTTGTGCTGTGTGAAACAGGAAGGTGAAGATCAAAGCAGCCGGAGGGGTGAGCAGGGGCTCTCAAGCTGGGCCTCTCGCTCAAGTTCACCCCTGACCACTTACCTGATGCCACCCCAGGGGTCACCTCTGCAAAACTCCGAGTCCCTGAAGAGCTCACTTGGAACGTTTCAGATGTAGGGGCTTTGATCAAAAAGCACCGTGAACATCTACATTTTTTATTTTTATTTATTTATTTATTTTTTGGTACCAGGGATTGAACTCGGGCCCTCGCGCTTGTGAGGCAGGCAGCGGAACCACTGAGCCAAATCCCTGGCCCCTACATTTTTTTTTTAACTTACAGTAGAAGACACGCTGCCATTAATCCCCCTCAGAGTATGCAAAATAATCCCCTTCTCTTCAAACACGCACATCCCATTGTTCTATTGTTTTTGTTTTTTTTTTCACTGTAATAAGATTTTTTTTTTTTGTACTGGGGATCAATCTCAGGACCTTGACCCCAAATTGGAGCCCAGGTCCTCTTGATCCTCTTGGCTGGTGTAAGCCAAGGTTATAAGCTATCAAATCAAGGCCAGGACTTGGGCCCTGAATGAGCCTAAAGCTGATGGCCTGCTAGTGTTTTGGGGGACCAGAGGGTATCTGATACCATGTGGGAAGCTCAGGGGCTGTGAACTTGGTGCTGGAAGGGAATGAGGGGCAGGTGGGTGTGTTCACCCTCCCATATCTGCCTCCTTTCCCAGTGCACCCAGAAATCTCCAGGGATGGCTCAAGCTGGACTCTCCTAGACCTGCCCACTGTGTCTCATTTTGATTCCGGAGACTACGTCTGCCAGGCCAAGAACTTCCTGGGCGTCTCAGAGACTCTCATTTCCCTGATTGTCACTGAGCTCCAGCCTCCTATAGGAGACAGTGGGAGCCCAGGGGTGCGATGGACAAGGACAGATGGGGCAGAGGCTGCTGCTTACAACAACAAGCTGGTGGCCAGGCACGTGCCCCATGTGCCTGAGGCTGCCGTGGTGGCCGCCTGGCCCTCCGTGCCCAGTGTGAAGGAGGAGCTGGCCCTCCAGCACTTCCAGATGGGTGTGCCGGGGGCGCTGTGGGACAGGCAGGGGGCGTGCATGGTGAGGTCGCTCAAGGTGGTGGGGGACACTTACGACAGTGTGTCCCTGGTGTGGAAAGCTCCCCAGACCGGGAACACAACGGCCTTCAGCGTCCTCTATGCTGTCTTCGGGCAGCGAGACATGCGGCGGGTGACCCTGCAGCCAGGCATGACAAGGGTCACCATTGAGGGGCTGGTGCCCAAGACCAAGTACGTGGCGTGTGTGTGCGCGTGGGGCCACGTGCCGCACAAGGAGCAATGTGTCATCTTCTCCACCGACCAGGTGGCGGACGCCGAGGGCACCCAGCGGCTCATCAACATGGTGGTGATCAGCGTGGCGGCCACCATTGCTCTGCCGCCCACGCTGCTTGTGTGCTGCGGGGCGCTCCGCAGGCGCTGTCGCAGGTATCACGCGGGAGGCTCTGGCGAGGCGGAAGGCACCTACATGCACCTGGAGAGGCTGACTCACAGCAATGACAGCTCAGAAGAGCTGCCCAGGCAAAGCCTCAGTGGTGAGGCTAACAGACTCCTCTCTGCTCGTTCCAGCCTGGACTCACAGGTGGGCAGGCGTATCAATGAGTACTTCTGCTGAGTGCCACCCAGCCACTCCAGCCCAGACACCTGTGTACTCACACTTCCATCAATAATAACTGACACTTATGAAATGCTTACTGTGTGCCAGGAGGTGTTCTAAGCACTTTATCTGCATTAACTTAACTCTTGTAACAACCATCCATAAAAGGCACCCCATTTCTCTCCCTTTTCCTGGAGGAGAAACAGAGGGTTAAGTAATGTGTGTGTATCAGTCAGTTGTGCTGTGTAACAAATAAAAGCAAAAGCTCAGTGGTATGCACTTACTTTCATACTCATGGATCTTATTAGGTTGACTAGAGTGGCTCTGCTCTGGCTGTCCCGATGGGACCAGATTGGAGAGTAGCACAGGCTGCCTGGTATACTCTCTCAAGGTCTGATGACATCAGAGAAAGGAACAAAATTGCAACATGTTGCGTGTTAAATTCTTAGTCCAGAATCAGCACCCTGCCACTTCTGCCCATATTCTGCCTGCCAAAGCAAGTCTTGCAGCCAAACCCAACTTGCATAAGGTGAGTAAGGATGCTTCTCCCTGGAAGTGGGCAGGAACATTTGTTGAGCAGGTTCTGATTTACTATGTTGCCCACCCAGCAGTGGCAGCTCTGGAATCCCCTGATTCCAGTAGTCCTTGCCCAAGATGCTGCATCTTGGTGATATTGATGCTAACTTTGGGGCCCTTGCATATGTAGACTCTCTGTACGTAAGACTCACTTGTTGTCACTCCTCCCCAGATGCACATGCTCCAGTCTCCCACCACTGTGCCCTCAGAGTCCTAGCATTTGTTTTCTGGGTGCTGGTTCCGCCTAGAGACAATAATTCAATCTTCAATAAATTCTGGATGTTGGGTAATACCTGAGGGGCCACTTTTTTATTAGCATGTCAGGCTGGAGTGACCCAAGAGGCTTAATTGTAGAGGACTCTGTCACATCCAATGCCATCTGGCATCCAGCTCACCTCTGTCCCATTGTGACTCTTACCAAACTCACTTGCATTTTTGAAAGTGTCTTGGAGCCTTCCTGGCCACTCATCAGGTCCCTTCAGAAGGGGATTCATATTCAGTTTTTCATAAAGCTGGGAAACCACTGAGCTTCCCCTGTGCCCAGGAGAGAGTAAATATTCCCCTCAAAAGTTTCAGCTTGTTCCTTGTCTACTGAGCTCTGCTGTATGAAGGAAGCACCCAGGGTGCTTGGTGTCAAGTATTTGGGTAACAACTGAAGACATTTGAGTACAGCAAGTGACCCAAGGAATTTTTTGCTATTGTGATTTCAGAGATTCCATATCATGTTGAGCATTTACTAGATATAAAGCATATCACCATCTCCATCTGTGGTCTGTGAACTTTTTCTTTAAAGAAAACCAGAAAGTAAATATTTCAGTCTCTGTCATTGCTACTCAACTCTGCTGATGGAGTGCAAGAACCAGGCACAGACAGAATGCCAGTTAATGGACATTGATCTGTTCCTATAAAATGCTGTCTATAAAAACAAGTGACAGGGCTTGACACACAGGCTGTAGTTTGCCATCCTCTATAGACTCATATAGGTATTTCTACTGTGCATTTAGAGAGTCAAGACTCACTTCTGATTGGTGTATAGCAGTGGCAAGCAGCCCCCCCATTAGAACAAATATAAGTGCAACTGATGAAAACAGCCACCTATTGAAATGATTGATATGTTGTTCATATGGTTATTGGAGTTCATCATGATTGAGCAATCATTGACCAAAAGACACATAATATTCAACTGGTTGTATTGAATTTTGTTTGAAGAACAATTAGAAAACTGAAGACAAGAAGAAAGAAAGAGAGACAGAGAGAGGAGAGAGGAGGTTCAAACTTTGATTCATTAGGACCTATCTTTGTCTATCTTTGTGGCCCCAATGGTTGTAATTTCCAAGATTGTCAGCCAACCTGTCCTCGACCGTTAATCTTCATTTTATGTATTTCTTGTAAGAAAAAAATCATTCTGAATTGTGCTCATGAATACTTGAATCACTTAAAAATTCTCCATGGTAAAAATAAATGGGGTCTGGTTTATATATTGATGTTTGAGTGTATGTCTGGTTCATATGAGTCAGTGAACTGAATAATTCCAGGATGTCCTGCAAAATTGCTGCACTCCAGCCTGCGCCATGGTGGTCCCAAGATGTGTGGCCCTCAGATGCTTACTTTGGACTTGGTTGGAATCACAACATGCTCATTTATGTCTTTTCCTGATGACAGTGTGCTTACTTTCCTCTTGACTAGCCAGGAGACATGTCCGATGTCACTTTTCTGCAGCTGCCTAAGTTGCAAGGCACAAAAAGCAGACAGCAGGAATTGTGTTCTGGTAAGTGGGTGTGGGCTTTCAATGGAATGCAGTGAACAGTTTGTTCAGAAGACCGGAGCTGGAAATTTTGGCTTTAATTATCATAAAATCCAGTAAAGAAAAACACAAATTACAATATGAGCACATTGTATTTAGTTGCAAGGGCATTGTAGATAGGATCGTATGGGCTTATGCTTAACACATGAAGATTGATTGCTGCTCTTACTAAGACTACTTCAGTGAGTGGCAAGTATGGATGGAGGGAAGGCTCTGCTTCACTTGTTCACTGAAGGATTTAGGATGATGGATGTCAGTGGTTTTCCCAACGAGAAGAAAGAGAAGCTGGAGAACCTTGTAGGGACATTTCCTCTAACATTTTAGCAGCCAGAACACATGACCCCTGGCCTGTATGTTTCAAGGAGGCTTGAAAATGCGGGCTTCCATGTGCCTAGCACAGGCGCACCATGAGGACAGGTGGTCAGGGAGGTGACCTTAGACATGGTCGGAAGCAGGTGGAGGGTATGGAAAGAGCTCTACCGTGAGGAAAATGAAGGGTAATGTCTGGTTCGTACACTGAGGTTGTTCAGTTCTCTAGTCTACCTCAAAGTTTTGCGAATACTAGGGATTAAGAAGCATTTTCCAACTGAACAGAGGAGGAAGTATCATTATGATCCTTCTAAGACAAGCCAGGGAGCTGCCTCCAGCAGCTATTTTTAATCTAACTATTTCATAAGAACAGAGTAAGCCCTCTCCCATGACTCAGTCTCTATCAAGAATTCTGAAAAAGCCGGGTGTGGTGTTGCACGCCTGTAATCCCAGCACTCAGGAGGCTGAGGCAGGAGGATTGCTATGAGTTTGAGACCAGCCTGGGCTACATAGTGAGTTCCAGGTCAGTCTCAACTACACAATGAGACCCTGTCTCAAAAAGCCAAAAAAAAAAAAGAATTCTGAGAGTTGAATTTCCAAAAGCATCCTGCAGAAGGGGAGATGGGGTTGAAATATTCACAAACCTCTCCCCTTTGTTGTCAGTGGGTCTTGAGTTTAGGGACTACACATAACTACAACTTATTTAAGCTAAATTACATGACTCAGCCTAGCTTTATTTGTCCTTAGTCACCTGCCTTAACTCCCAACTTAGCTGCTCCCTATATCCCTATACCAAACAGGAAAACCAGAGAAGTCAGAAGAGGAGAAGGGCAAGCCTTCAGATACTGCTAGGAAGGTGAAGTGGGCTGGATTTATGTGAAAAAGATTAGCATGGAATGGACAGAGAAGAAATTGTAGGGAAGAAAGAAGATTCTTTAGGCTTTATGCTATGGGACTGGGGATTTAGCTCAAGCTTTGATATTATGAGGTAGGAGGAGAAAAAGGACTTCACTAATGTTTTTGTATTCCCATAGGTAGACTCACATATTTCCATGAAACAGCCTTATCAAGACTTGGCAAATATAGAATAGTGAGAACTATCAGAGTACCCCCATTATACCAGACTGGCAGACTCTAAAGCCCTCCCTACCCTCAGTCTCTGGGTGTGGGGCCCTTGGGAAGGGCATGACTTCCTGCAAGCACCTGAGTGAGCTCAACTGCAAGCACCTGGGTTGAGCATCAACTCATCTTTTAAAGGAGACCCAAGCAGCACATCTTCATGCCCACCACAAACTTTGTACCCATAGCACTCTGTTTGGGATTTTTACCTTAGATGAATCCCAGACTGTAGGGTGAGACTGGGAACTCCAGCAAATATATCTGGCATTGAGTAGACAGCCTGAGGTGTAATCAGCTTAGCTGGTGACCCATTTCCTTCCCACTGGTTAGCCACTAAGAGGATTTTTTCCTCTGAGGTCTTTTGAAGGGTATAACGTATACCATGAGTCTTAAGGGAAACCACAGTGTTTCAGTATTTATCTGGAACTGTCTCTATTAATAGGGAAGTAGATAGTTCTGAGCTTCAAGAATCTGTTGCTATGGGAGCTGAATTATTGGGCAACTACTGTATGCTAGATGCTTTATTTCGCATAATTTAATATTTCCTAGGAACACTGAGATATTTATTAATATTCTCACTCTGTAGAAAAGAAACTGACTCACAGAGGTTAATGAGATTGCAAAAACTTCAAACGCAGAAGCATGAGCAAGAATACAGCCTGAAGGGGGCAGGGTCTGTAATAGCTTTGCCCACCACTGCATTCCTTGCCCCTAGCAAGTGTGTGGCTTAGAGTAGTTGACTGATGGTTATGTGTTGAGTGAGTGAAGTTCAGAGAGCAAGTACCACAAAGCACGTGCATATCATTTTAAAATGTAGGTATTTCATTTGTACACAGCAAAATACGCAGCACTCAGGAAAAACCCAAGAGGATGTGAGGGCGATCTGGCTGTGATCACCAGGGTTGATTTGTTGATCTGACTGGGTGGGCACATGTCCCCTTTTCCCCTCACCACTCCATGTGTGTCCCTCCTGAAGATGTGCACTGGGTCAAAGAGAACCATCACCCTTGATAGAGAAGAACCATTTCCTTGTCAACGGTATACGAGTAGCTGTACTCCTCTGCTAGAACCTCCAAGCAAGCTTTCAAGGAAAAGGCCAAGGAAATAACAGTGAAACTTTAATTTTATCAGAAAATACCATCTTGTGTTTGAAACAACTCTGTTGTTTCCTGAAGTCTGGCCACCAAAACTGAAGATGCCAATGTCTTCAAGAAGTGAAAGCACAAGTAACTATACCTCTAGCATCCTGGGAAGAGCAGGAGAGACCACAAGGTTACACCATTACTCATCATCTTCTTTCAGTTGGACTAAATGGCTGAAAATTCTGGTTTTGGGAACCAATTGTAAATGATGAAATATTAGATGGAGTCTGGTCAAATCCTTGGCTAAGTGTTTGGAATAGCATTAGCTATTCCAAATGTACTTCCAAAATAGTGCTTTTTTTTTTCCTCAGGCTCCTAGAACCAGCATGGAACTGGATATCTGACTTAGCGTTTGCTCTCCAGACTCAAGAGCCAGACGATGGTGAATTTTCTGGCTTAGTTAAGAGACATAGCTCCCTCTGCCTGTGTTTTGCCTGAGCCTGTGATCCAAGCTGTAACAGATCTCAGAGCATCCAGGGGCTTTGGTGTTGCTGCACTGACCTACATCACCATGGATTACCCATAATAGGTTTTGCCACTTGGAGGCCGGGACCATAGTTATTATAAACATACAGGGTAGTTTCTTACAGAGAAACATGGCTGCAGCTTTTCAGCATTTCCTTCTAATTTTGGCCTTTTTGGATATACATGCACCTCAGCCTTTCTGTGTGCAAGGATGTACCTGCTCAGTGGAGAGTTTTGGCAGGTGTGTGGTATTGGTAGAATGTTGGGGGTTACCGGGGATGGAAGTGTTTGGGATTATATGAAGTAGAAGCAGGCTTAGAATTGGCAGGAAATCAGCAAAATCTCCATGAGTGCTGCACTGGTGAACTGACCATTTTTTTCTTATCTTTTCTTTCTTTCTTTCTTTCTTTTTTTTTTTTGGTACCAGGGATTGAACTCTGGACCTTGAGCTTGAGAAGCAGGCAACAGCACCACTGAGCTAAATCCCAGGCCCTGAACTGATCATTTTTATCTAAATTAATCTCTTTCATTTCAAATAAATATATTTTAAAAAATTTAAGTCACATCAGGATCCACTGATTTTCCATTTTCCAGTTCCCTAATGTTCCTTTTAAGGCTTTTCTGTTTTTTGTTTGTTTTTTTGTACAGGACTCTGCTGTGCATGTCTACCCCTCTGGAAAAAATACCAGGCACACTTTCTGAGGAGTTCAAGCAAGTGAGAATTGAAAAATCACCCTTATTTGAACTCTCCTGAAACTCTTTCACCAATATGAGCACCTTGGAATATCTTTGGTTGAACTTTAACAATGTCACTGTAATCCAGCTAGGAGCCCTGCAACACTTGCAGGAACTCAGAGAGGTGAGACTGGAGAGGAATCAACTCCGGTCGGTACCATGGACAGAGTTCAGCACCACCCCTCTCCTGAAAGCACTTGATCTGAAACACAACCGGATTGATGTACTTCTGGAGCAGGCTCTTCAGTTCCTGGTCAACCTGACCTACTTTGACCTGCCCTCCAATAGACTGACTGTTGTATCCAGCAATGTCTTTGTGAACTTGCTGACCTACCAGAAATGTTGGAGACCTGTGTGTGGGGCTGAGTTTTTCTCTAGCATGGTGCTGGCACTACACAACAACCCCTGGGAATGTGACTGTCGACTAAGGGGACTTATTCAGTTTGTGAAGTCTATTACCTTCCCAATCACCCTGGTGAACTCCTACCTGATATGCCAGGGCTCTTTCTCAAAGGCAGGGCACTGTTTTCATCAGACTGAGCCCAGTGTTTGCATGAAGCCAAAGATCTCAGCCTCCAGTGCCAGTTTCACCATTCAGGCAGGACAGAAGTTGACGCTACAGTGCTTGGCCCAGGCCAACCCCTCACCAACCATTACATGGTCTTATCCCCTGAGCATGTGGAGAGAATTTGATGGTAAGTCACGTGCACCCTCTCAGTCTGTCTGAGAGGAGTAGGGAGGCCTTCAGTAATCCTGTCTCACTAGGGAGGGTCTCAGCTGTGTCAGTCATGAAAGGCAAGGTGCAGGCAAGACTGAGATAGGCCAAGATTAACTCTCTAAAACTGAAAAGTTTCCAAGATAGGGTTTCACTAGTGGAACAATTTTCAATGGCTGCATATAGATATATTTAGCACATTTATATTTAAATATATATTGGAGTTGATTTAGCATAGCATTAAAAGGTTATAGAATTGCATATCAATAAATATATCATCTGAGAGCCTTTTATATGCAAAATACCATACTGTAAATTTTACAATCTTAGAAATGCCAATTAGAACTGATTCTAGAGAATATCAGAATTACTTATTTCCTGAACTTGCCTCAGCAGAATCACTTGGGATGCTTATTTGAAATAAGATTTCTAAACATTCCTCTCCTGTGAGTGAAGGGGGGAAAATATATGTATATATGTATATATGTGTGTGTGTGTGTGTGTGTGTGTGTGTGTGTGTGTGTGTGTGTTCCTAACACCTCTTCCTCCGGCTAATTTTTACTATCAGGCAAGGTTGGGAAGTCCTAGATACTGACTAAATGTTCACTTATTACCACTGTGTTGATCAGACCTTTTTAGCTTGTTTTTTGTTTGTTTGTTTGCTTGCTTGCTTTTTTTTTTCTTTGAGTTTGAACCTAGGACCTTTGCTCCAAGCTACATTCCCAGCTCTTGGTTATTTTTACTTTTTATTTTGAAACAATGTATCACTAAGTCACTAAATTGACCAAGCTGGGCTTAAATTTATAATCTTCCTGTCTCAGCCTCTTAAATTTCTGAATTACAGGGATGATTAGCTTGAAATTATAATAGTGGGGCTCAGGGAGAAGAAGTGATCTCTGTGGACCCAGGAACTGGGATTCTAACGTGTTTCTCCTTTCCTGGAGCTGTGTACTCTGTTTCACATCTCAGCTGTAACCCCCAGTAGAGCTCAGCATATCACAAAGCCAGGTGTGGCCTCCACAGGGCCATCTAGAAGGCAACTTGAAGTGCCAGAGTAAATCTGGGAAATGCAGTCAGCCACTTAGACAGTTATCATACATGGTGACAAACCAAGTAGAAAAAAAAAAGATTCACCAAATATTCACTTTTCTCCATCATTTTGATTACACCCAGCTGGCTAGAGGTTAAATTCTAATGGAGGAGAAAAAGAGGATTTATTGCTGTAGCCTTTTTGGAAGGAGATGCACTCAGAGGCTGTCTTTTGCGGTGCACTATAATCTCTCTGGACACTGTGTTGTATCTAGTCTCCTAGAAATAACAACAGCGATGACTAAGGAACACTATCAAACTGCGCTATTACCATCTCATTTTACTAACAAGAAAGTTGAGACCAGGAGAATACAAGCATCTTGCCCAGGACTGTATATTCAGGAAGGAACCCAGGTCTGTGGCTCTGGGCTATAGCACTGCACATCTACTAGGTAATAAAGCACTTCTGTGCACTCACAGCCACCTCTCCACACGCCTGTGGAGATCTACAGAAGCTATGGCATTCGACTGAGCAAGTCTGAGCTGGTGAAGAGAGCAGGTACTGATGCAAAAGAGTGTGGTCTTCCCAGATCAGAGACCCAGCTTCCACATCAAGGGCTGCTTCTGAACACCTCTCAGTATGGGTAAATTCGTGGATTTCTCTAATCCTCAACATCCTATACATAGTAACAGTTCCATATTTTACAGATTTCTGGGGTAATTCCTGGAACCACATACATGCATAGTAAATGGTTACCAGACAGGTGTGATGGCAAAAACCTGTGACCCCAGAACTCTCAAAGGCTGAGGAGGGAGGATGGTAAGTTAGAGCCCTGCCTAGGCAACTTAGCGACTTTGTGAAATCTTGTCTCAACAATTTTTTAAAAGGGCTGGAGATGCAGCTCTGTGTAAAAGCGGTGAGTTCAATCCTCAGTACTGCCAAATGAAAAACAGGGTACTCCCCCACCGTTACAGCTCCCTGCTATCCACTGCAGCAGTACGCAGCGGTCTTGCTCTTCGCTCCATCCAGCGTTGACCTCGTCCGCTATGGAAGATGCTGCCCTGTCCGAGCTGGTCATCACGGCTGTGCACCTGGTGGACAGAGGCAACTACGCTTGCGTGGATACCAACGCTGTGGGCCGCAGCTCCCGCGCCATCCCCCTGAGAGTCCAGCCGGTCCCCGCCCACCCACGGCCTCTGCTCCTTCCACCTCCCACGTGGACCTGCCCGTGGCCAAGCACACAGGGCTCAGGGTCCTGCTGGAGTGGCTCACGGGGGCCCGCACCCCTGAGGAGCTGGGCTTCACGCTGCTCATCGCCTCAGACGAAGCCGGCTGGAAGGAGGTGGTACACCTCGGCCCCGGAATCCACTCCTACGCGGTGGACGACCTCCTCCCCGGCCTCAAGTACGAGGTGTGCCTTAGCCCAGGCACCCAGCGCCCTCGCCGAGGCCCATGCATGATCTTCGTGACCAGCAAGGATGGCGGTGGGATGGAGGGCCGAGGGCGCCTTCTGCACGTAATGGTGGTGCTGTGTGTGGTGCTGCTGGCCTTGCCTCAGGAGACCCCCCCCGCCCGGATATCCCTAGGCAGGGCCACAGTGCAAAGACGACTGCTTTAGAGACCACATGGCTGACTGTGAGGACAGCCAGAGACACAAGGAACTGCAGGGGGACAGGGAAGACAGCAGCTAACAGGCCAGACAGTGACACGGCAATGGGGAAGCATCCAGGTGCTGAAACCAACCTCCTTCAGCATCTGAGCTGGTGCCCTGCACAAGGTCAACAAGCATTTGCTGTGCACCTGCTGGATGCCAGGCTTGGAGCAGAGATCAACAGTGCAAAGGCAACACAGTCATCATCTTCCAGGAACTAAGGCCAGCAGAGCTCTGACCTAGCCAGGGGATTTCTTTATTACACACTTGACCAGAAGTGAATACATGTAACTCTTTGTATTTGCATCACCCTATCCCGGTTACATGTTGACACAGGACATTGACATACAACTTTTCAAGGAGGCTGAGGCAGGAGGTTTGCAGATTCAAGTCTACCCCCAGTGTCACAAGCAGACACTATTTCCATTATTTTATCAAATAGGGGCAAGGGGCAGGAACTGATCTTCATTAAGGCTACTACTCTCATCAGTTATCAGGATTTGTTATAATTAATGCTGGTGGAAATACTTTTTAAAAAAATCTCAGGTCTCACTACTGTAGTTCAGGCTGGCCTTGACCTCACAGTGATCCTCCTGCCTCAGCCTGCTGAGTGCTGGGATACCAGCGAGTACCACCACGCCTGGTGGTAGACATAAATTCTTAAAAATTGAGGGTAGCATGCATTTTCAGACCTATCAGTCCTCCTTTCTTCAGATTCTCCTAGTTATTTTCTTCTGGCCACCATGGTGTGTAAATCCCACTCTTTATCTATTCATCTGCTGATGGACATACAGAGAGAGCTCATTATGAGAAATTTCCTGTAATGAGTCATGAAGGTGAAGCTTGGGGTGAGACAGGAGACAGTGCTTATATTGGCCTCTGCGGGTTCCCTTCCACAGGCTCGAGGGCAGGGTTGGAGGGTGCAGCCATGTTGAAGTGTCCTGGTGCCACCACGGAGCAGGAGGGGACATTCTCAGGTCACCCCAGCAGAGGAGCAGAGGGGCCAGGAGGAGGGAAGGGGGCACAGAGCCAGGTCTGTGGGGTGAGTGTGGACATTTTGGGAAAGGAATATGGCTTAGAGCAGATGTCTGGGAATCTGATATTGTTTTGTCAGCTTTCATTTTTATTAGTCCATCCATGTTGCCAAGCACGATCATTACACTCCTTGAATGGAGTTGGTCCAGGTACATAACACATCTCAGTTCTTTTTTTCATCCCCTTTCTCTCCCTCCCTCTTGACATATGGATGTATCTTGAGACCATGATGTTAAGTGAAATAAATCAGACCCACAGGCTCAAATATCAGTTTCTGTTATATGCACACAAAGTATAAATAAAGAGCAAAATAAAAAACATAATAGGAAGTAAAGAATTTGATATTTTTAAGCCTCTTTGTCTTTCTCCCAAAAAATTCCAAGAGCTCAAATGGATGCATATTGAGGATATACTCTTAAGTGAAATAAATAAGTCACACATGTATAAATACTGAATAGCTTCTGTGGTGTGAAAAACTATAATTGTACACAAGATCCTAATGGTATAATTGACAATGTGAAATAGGAAAAAAATGGCTAAAGGTGTAGGGGAAGTGGGAAGGGTAGGGGAAAGGAAATAAAGGCAAAGAAAAAGATATGAGAAAGTGAAAAAATGGAAATAAAGTATTTGTAAATAGGGAAGGGAGGAGGGGGTGAAGGGAGGGCAGGGACAAGGGGCAAAAATGAGAACCAAGACCTGTCATGTAAAGGTACAAGATCCCAATGATGAATGTAACTGTGCTATATACCTAAAATGTACCAATAAACTCATTGAGAAAAAAAAATTCCAAGAGTTCACATTACAGATGGTTCTGGATGTACCATGGTTCAATGGTGTGACCATGATATTCAGTCAGTAGAAACTGAACTTCCAATTTTGAATTTTGATGTTTTCCCTGGCTAGGGATATGTAATGCAAACTCTCTTGAGATGCTGGACAGCAGCCAAGATCATGATAGAAAACAAGTGATTCTTGTGCTGCTAAGCTAGGAGTTTGCTAATTTGGGTGTCTAAAGTTCCTATGTATGTATGTATGTATGTATTGTGGTCCTCAGGATTGAACCCAAGGCATTTGCACTGAGCTACATCCCCAGCTCATACTTTATTTTTTATTTTGAGACAGGGTTTCCCTAAGTCACTAAGTTGCCTAGGTTAGGCTCCAATTTGTGATCCTCCTGCTTCAGCCCCCCAGGGTGCTGGAATTACAGGCATATGGCACCATATCTGGTATTAAATAGATTTTTGACTTAGGATACTGTCAACTTACCACAGGTTTCCTCATTGCAAGTGGAGGAGCATCTGTATATGGAATGGCCTAATATGCACACCAGTATCTTCCACATGTTCTATTTAATTCATGCATTTTGAGGGGTTCTTTTTAAAATTTAATTTTTTTATTAGTACATGTTTGTGGTGCATAATGTTTGCATTTCTTGTGAGAAGTTGTGACGTGTACACAACACATCTTAATTCCTTTCTCTACCCCCTTTCCTTCCCTCTCTCTCCCTCCACCAATCTCCTGATCACCTTAATTCATATTTAAAGGGTGCTGTCGATTTAGCCAGTTGCCATTCTTGGAGGAAGCTTATCTACTTTGAATTTAGATCTTTTAAGGCAAGTGCCTTGAATTCAGGAGACATTTGTAAGAATGCTGCTTGCTTTTAGAGTGAAGCCCCCTCTCCTCCCAGGGCTCTGCTATTGGCAACTTGCTGGAGAGATTTTGCCCTTTTTCTCTTTCCTTTTGTTTCACAAGACCCTGTCCTCAAGAGTCTGGTGCAGATGATAGGCTCCAACCACCTGTTTGCACAGGTGTGATCTGAAAAATAAATGAAGGGCCAGACCTTGTTCAACCAGAAGTGCATGTGCATGACTTCATGATGTCACATTGATGTTCCTGGCATCAGCCTATTATTATTCTTCTTTATTAATCAGATTCAGGGGGCTGAAGTCATGGCCCCCTCATTCTGGAAGCCAGGCCCTACAGAGCATCCCCTTAGGTTTCTCTGAGTCTCCTAAGAGGATGTTTTGTGTCCCCACACCAGTCCAGCTGCCTTGATCGGCACGCAGCATTGTCTCCGTTCTCCCTGTCCATCCTCCCATGGCCAGGGAACTTACAGATTGTCAGACAAGACTGCCATTGAGCCAGGTGTGGTGGCACAGGCCTGTAATCCCACTATTCAGGAGGCTGAGGCAGCGGGGATTGCTTGAAAGCACAAGTTTAATACCAGCCTAGGCAACATAGTGAGATCCCAGTTCTGAAACAAAACAACTTCCATTGCTCAGAGAGACAGAATCCTGGAGAAGCTGGGGATGGTGACTCCTCCCCAGATTATGCTACTCTATGCCAACTTGCTGTGCTTCAGGACAGAATCCTGCAGGAGTCCCTTGCTGCCTTGGAAAGTAGATGCTTGAATGTGGGCTGCAGGCTGCACAGGTCATGAATGCTGTGGTGGCTTCCCCATGCTCCCTCACTTCCTTCCTCTCCTCACCTGCTCTCCTGGTAGAAAGGAACGGTTCCTGGGCCTATGGATGGGTGGAGATGCCCTGGGGAGAGGCTGCATGGAGGAGGATCCTTTCCAGGATATGTGGCCACAGCCAGCTCTGCTCAAATGCCTCCCTGCGCAAGAGGACAACTGTCTACCGAGCCGGTGTGAGCAGGTGCAAAGTGGGTGCAAGGAGCTCTACATAGATTAGCTTCTGTCACCCTCCCGTGACAAGTCTTTGCACCCTGTGTTGATGAGGAAAGTGAGACCCAAACAGCACACGTAAGTGGCAGGACTTCATGTTGTGCCAGTTTACAGGTCCAGGCCTGCCTGCGTATGGCCATGCAGGCAGCCCCGCACCCTGCTGTTCCCTGATGTGGTGAGACATGGCTGGCCTGACTCCCTGGCATGTTTCCCCAGTGCTGACTGCAACTGTTGGTCCCTTTGGCTTGGCAGAAAATTTGTCTTTTCTCCAGCATGGCTGGTACTGAATAGTATCCTCTTTTCCCTCAGTGATCAGTTCCAGGACTGGCTCTGATTGGTCAAACTCCTGGGAGGCTCATAATTTCTAGTTCTAGATCTCCTTCTTTGCCAAGCACCCAGCCTAGGAAGAAAAGTCCAACCAAAGCTTGGCATGGCCCACAGTCAGGTAGTTGAGCCCGCAGTTGTGCTCCTGTTTGACATGTATGCAGGCAGTGTGGACCACATTTTGCAGCCTTTATTGGAGTAAGAACCAGGAGTTGGGGTGCATTTGCCCACCAGAGAAGCCAGGAAAAGGCTGAGCAGGCTGATCTGGGCCATAGGCCAGGAGGACTGGCCTCCATAAGCCAGAAAATACACACATAAGCAGCAGCAAGAAGTCAGCTAATCCTTAGGGTTACAGATTTTATTTACCATTTATAAAAGAGGTCGATTTCATGCACGTTGGAAGGACACTGTATTCTCTAGAGAGGTAATCTTGGTTTAGTCCTCTCCTGAAACACCAGCTGGAAAAGTCCCTATCCAGTCTGGACTCCTCTCTAACACTGTCTGGGTCCGGGACTGCAGACACCCCTAAAGGATTCTGCTTACTGGCACATCTCAGTAACACCTTGAAACATAGACAGGACATCAGGAAAGCCACACATGCACAGCCTCTGTTCATACTCATGGGTGCAGTCTAGAGGGCCAATTCAAGAGTGGAGCAAATACAAAGAACCATCCTGCTTTTTTGTCCCTGTGTACTTGTGTGTGCACCTGAATGTCCTTAACCAGGGTAGAACTTCTCTGAATTAACCGTGGAGGCCCTGCAGGATTTCTCTTCTGGAAGAGATTGTCACACCCAGCTAGAGGAAAATGTGGAGGAGGTGGGGACCCTCAGACCAGACCCCTGCTATCTGCAATGGCATTGGACAAACCACTTCCCCAGTCCAGGCTTGGACTGGACGCTGCTGCCCGGCTCTTGTTCTCTCTGGCAGTAGCATGAGGTGAGGGAGAAGGAAGGGGAGTGGTCAAGGGCAAAGCCATCATCTGCTCTCCTGCTCATGTGCCCAGCACAGCGCCCCTGGGGGCACTTGGGGAGAGTATCTGTGAAGGTCTAATACTTCTGGGAAGGACTGCTCCAAATACTTTGATGCCGATTTGTGTGTGGCTAAAGCCTTCTCACCTATGTTTTCCTGGGGCTTACTTCCTTCAGTACAAATGAGGAAGATGATGATGAGAGAGTTTAAACAGCTTTCCTATAGCTGGGTAGTGTGGTACACGCCTATAATCCAGCTGCTCAGGGAAGCTGAGGCAAGAGGCTCTCATGTTTTAGGCTGGACCAGGCAACACAGCAAGGCCCCATCTCAAAAACAAAAACCAGCTTTCCTAAGTACACAAGTGAACAGAACTAGGTAAAAGCAGGAGTCTCACCAGGTCTCAGTCTTCTTCCTGTCCTTTGAAGAGGGCCGACACTCTTCCTAGTGTCCTCAGGCTCCCACCTCACCAGAAGCTCCAGCTTCGGGGCCCAGGGCAGTCTGGCTGGGAATGTCTGCTGTGCTCACAGTGCATTGCTGGGCCCATGGGGCACGGCAGGGGTTGTGACCTCACCCAGACGCTGGCTCCGTGGTTTCTGTGACTTTGGGTGCAGCCCTGAAGTCAACATGAGTTCTCACGGCACCTCTGCCCTCTGCTTGCCCCCCAGATCTACTCTCCTGTGGCCTGCATGCTTTGCTGACTGCACCCTTTGCAGGGCTCAACCTCCCTTTCCTGCCTCTGCTCTTAGCTGCTATCTTCAGGATCCAGAAGCTTGCTGGCCTTGTCACCTGTGGCTCCTTTATGAAGAATGATGAAGCTGCAGGGGGACCAGAGGGACTGTGAGGTTTGGGACTGGTGAGCACAGGATGCAGAGAGCAGCTCCTGAAGACCAGGGAGCATTCCGGCTGTGCCCAGGATGCAGATGATGGGAAAGTTGCCAGTTCTGCCACCTGAGAAACCCCTGGCTGAAAGCCTCATCCAGAGCCCTGTAAATGGGAGTTTACATCATTGTACAAAACAGGGCTGACCTTCAAGAGGACAGGGTGGGGAGCACTATGGAAGCAATGGAGTGGTTGGGGGTGGTGTGTGCTGGGGGAGACAGGGTCACAGGCTACACCCTAGAAGTAAGCTTTCTTGTCTACACTCTTCTCAAACTTCTTCTTGAGCTCAGAGACCACAGATGACCTGACAGGGCTGCCTGAAGCTGGGGCCTGGGGTGAGGGCTGGGGTTCTTGTGGATTCAGAGATCCAGAGACTGTAGGCACCGTCCAGTGTGTGACCGTGTTGGATGCCATTCTGGGGGGTGAAGGGAGAGCTGGAGCTTTGGGGGGCAGCGGGGCTCCTGCGCTGCTGTTGTTGCAGTTCTCATTGGGGGACCCCTCCTTGAGCATGAACTTGGTGGCGGTCTTGGCCCTCCTGAACGTGAGCCACTCAATGCGGATGCTGCGGGGGGCAGGGCTGGACCGCCTTCGGAGCACACGGCGCACGGGCAGGACCTTGTTGGACCTCTTGTTGCGCCAGAAGGTGGCAGTGGAGATGAGGATGGTGATGGCCACAACAATGGCCACGATGCCGGACAGCACACCCACGGCTTTCATGGGGTTGTCCTTGGTCTGTAGCAGGAAGGCAGCCATGGGGTCTCGGGACAGCGTCTGGAAGACAGGGCCACCTCCTGTATTCAGCTGTTCCCACTTGGTCACCAGAGAACAGTGGGGGTGGGGATGGCATGACCTTCCTTAAATCTGACGTTTTGTTAAGGTTTATGTCGTCAGGAACCTCTTTGAGAACATAAGCACATGGGCTTCTTGCACACTGATGCATGGTTCGTGCCGCCCTCTAGAACACATTAGCGTAGAACATGATTACAAACCTCTTTCTGATTCCAGACTCCTGCATCACTTCCTTTGTATTGCTTGCCTTTGTATGTAAAGGGGCCAACTAATCCAGACTTAGCAGAAACTCCCTCAGTGAGGACTTTCTGCCAGACACCGAGCTGAGAACTACATATGATTTTACTTCTACATTCCAGCACCTAGTGGAAAAGACATCATTCTTCCCACGTTCCCGGAAAGTCAGTGGAGGCTTAGCGAAGCCTGAACTCATGCCTTTAATAAGTATAACTATTAGAATGTCAACATGACCCCCAAGCCTGTGTGTTTAATAGCACCAGTAACCTGTCATAACACTGAGCATCTTTTACAGGGAGCTGAGAGATGGTCCTTCTCCCTAGGGTGGTCCTCTGTCCCCTCTCCCTGTCCATGGTTTGCACCCACCTCAGCGTCTGTGATGTCAATCTTGAGTAAGGCCGTGGTGCTGAAGGACGGGGAGCCTCGGTCCTTGGCCTGCACTTCTAGGGACCACGTAAAGTCCCCCCTGGGCGTGATGTTGTGCAGGGCATCCAGGGAACGGATGGAGTTCTTGAGCCGGATCTCCCCTGTGTGTGCATCAATGTCAAACACGTTGGCTGGCTCTGCATGGGTGATGGAATAGTCCACCAGGTTGTTGGGCTCCTCTGCATCCTGGTCTGTGGCCTGTGCATGAGAAGGGACAGATAGAGCTGGGCTTGGAAGAAACCACTTGTGAATACTGGAGTTGGTATAGAACATGGGGCTTGTTGGGTGACACGAAGTAGTCTTGACCCTGCTTGGGGTAGATGGAGTGGGTAAAGGAGAGTGCGTGACCTAATGTGTGTGTTCCAGGGTCTAGCCTAGGCCCTGTGTGTGTGTCACATGGCTCCATTCCCAGAACAGTCTAGGGAGTGGGCATTGGTGAATCCATATCATGGGTGCAAAAATAAAAGCTTCAGCGCTAAGTGACTTGCCCAAGGAGAGAGAGGAGGGGAGCTGGGTGTCAAGGCTGTGGGTTCCCCAGTTCATGCTTCTTTCATAACAGGAAAACGGAGGAGTGTGGTGGAAAGAGCATTGCACTTAAGGCAAGCAGACCAGCTATGGGAACTGAGGCAAGCCAAACTCTTAGGCTGCCTGAGCTTTATGTTTTCCATTTGCCCTCTTCTTTCTCAAAGAAGTTTTCTGGGTTGGAGCGGAGATGGGGTTCTATAAAGCACACTGCAGGACACTGCATCAAGGAGAAACCAAATCCATCACATTTCATTCAAGGCAGCTCATCGTTGCAGGCATGCGTGCGCACTGACCCATGTATGAAGTTCTTCTGTCCTGGGGTCTCTTGCAGTTGCTGGAATGAGGCTTTCAGGGGAGCTCAGCTGCCTGAAACTTACCTCAATTCTCACCGGGGTCCCCAACACCATCGTCTTCTCTTGGATGCTCTTTCCAAACTGGGGGTAGTGGTCATTGACGTCCAGCAGAGTGACGAACACCTCGGCCAGGCTGTACCTGCCTTCTGTGTCCTCTGCCTTCACATAAAAGTTGTACCTCGCTGTGGCCTCAGCATCCAGGTTGGCCCAAGGCTGGGTGTAGATAAGCCCAGTGGAGGGGTGGATCAGGAACCTGCCAGGCAAAGAGCACAGGCACCGGTGCACACGTGCACAAGCACGTGGGGACGCTTGGGCACACAAGCAGTGCATACACAGGCAACACACACATGCATAGGCATATGCACACAAGTGCTTACAAGGATGAGCTGCTTCTGGAAAGCAGCAGTGGGGCACCAGGCAGCTTCTCCAAGGCTCTCACCTGCTGTCACCCCTCCTTGTGGTCTGACTCCTAGCCCACCTATTACTCCTGAGCCTAAGAACCTGAAATGCAGCCCTCTCCCTTCCTCCATGGTCTGTTCCTGCTGCAGTCCATCCCTGCTTTTCTGGTTCCTGAAGCCATGGAGCCCAGTTCCATGCTGTGACCAGGACGTCCTTCTCTCCCAGTTACCTACTGAGTGTCCTCACACCTCCTACCTCAGGGTCGCCATTATTTCTCTTCACTCCTCACCTCCTTCCCAACCTCTGATCCCACCTTTCAGGTGCTCCATACCTTCAGCAGGGAACCCCTCTACCTGTAGCCTCCCAAGTTCCTTGCCAGACCTCTGTGTGGGGTGCTGGATGTACTCACAGGTCTGCTCCGGTCCCATAGATGGAGTATTTGACTTTGCCCCAGGATCCTGTGTCTGGATCCACAGCCTGGAAAAGAGAAGGCTCCCAATGGTACCTGTCCTCTGGCCAGGGCACCTGGCAGCTCCTGGAGAGGTGCTTTCAGTGGGAAGCAAGGGAAGTGGGAGGTTTGCACAGTGGGGCAGGAACTGAGAGGCTGCCCTGGGCTCTCGCTTTCTTCTAAGGGGACCTCCAGTGTCAGCGGAGCCCAAAGTTATACAGGACCTGGAAAGCATTTCTTTCTCCTTTATAAATGAGAAGGCAAAAGGATGGGCCCTGCTCTGGGCTGAGGGTCTAGACGTACGTCTTTCCTGCACACCAGTGAGATATCGTCTCTTTGTATTGATGAAGAAACAGAAGTTAAGAGATGGCAGCAGCTTGTGCAAGGTCACAACTAAAAGACTGGGCTTACGATCTAAATGGAACCTATATTTGTCTCACTTCACAGGGCCCTTAATGAGCCCCAGGGCCTTGGCCAGTACCAAACTTACTGTGACAGCCACCACATTGGAGCCCCCTGGGGCATTCTCTGGGATCCTGGCAATATAGTAGTGGGAGGTGAACTTGGGGACATTGTCATTGGTGTCTAGGAGCTGGATCACAATATCTGCTGTGGAACTGAACTTCTCCGGGGTGTTCACTTCAATGGCCAGGAGCTGGGGAAGGAAGGGAAACCAAGGGCGTGTCTATCACCTGCTGAGAGCCTCCCACACCTATCTCCCTAAAACTGGCCCCACACCCAGCACCTCTCAGCTGCAGGGCTCTTCCTGCAACCACCTGAAAGGTGCACATCTTTACTCCTTGTGGCTTCCGACACCAGCTTTCCCGTCATCCCCAACTGTATCGGGGCCAGTTTCTTTTCTACTGATGTGTGTATTTCTTTCATATTTCTCCAGATAAAAGCCAAAATAATTGTATCGAGATTCGCACCATTTTTCCAAAGGAAATTCTAGGTGACAGGCAATTGGGGTGGTGTTTTGAAATTTTTTTACTGACTTAGAGAAAATTTGCACTTTTATAAAAAGGTATACACTATTGCACGTCTTCATGTCTTGCCTTCTCTATGCCCCTTTGTGAAATCTTGCATTTTTCAATCACTTAAGTGATATATGTTTCTTGTTACTGTAATTCTTAAGAATTTTGTCTGTTGGTTGTTATTGTAAAAGACTATTTATTTATTTATTTTGTAGTATTGGGGGTTACATTTAGGGCCTTCACAGTGAGGCGTATCCTCAAACGTTTTCATTTATTTTTGAGGTGAGGTGTTACTAAGTCATTAAATTACCCAGGCTGAGCTCAGACTTGTGATCTTTCTACCTCAGCCTCCCAGAATGCTACGATTACAGATGTGCACTGCCATGCCTGCCTCCCTTAAAAGAACAGTGACCAGTTTCCCTCTGTCTCTCTTGGCATGGCAACGACTAGGGTGGTTCCCTTTGACTCACAACCCCTCAACCCCTGGGATACTGTGGTTTAGAAGCCAAAGCTCAGTGAGGCCCAGGGCCAGGGGAGCTGGCAGAGGTCTGCCTGTGGGCCACTCTACTCCCCCACCCTGACCTACTACCTGCTCCTCATGCCAGCAGGAGGGCCATCGAGTTAAGGAGAGAAAGAGTAGGTCTAGAAATAGCAGTGGGTCTTCTCAGGAAGGAACAGAGATGCCGTGATGAGCACCTTCCACATCTGCCCTATACAGGACAACGCAAAGCCCCACACACCTTGAAAGTCAACACTCTGGACTGCTCAAAGTCAATGGCAGCTGAATTCTCCACAATGATGGTGACCTGGGCTTCATTGAGTACTGTCTGTGGGACCACTCGGAAGATGCCTCCAGGTCCCACAAGCCGCAAGTTGAATTTGGCATTGGCTCCCTGGGTGTCGGAGTTCAGAAAGAGGAAATGGAAGATAAGTAGAATAGAAACATTACATGAGGTATGATCAAAATACATAGTCAATGTTTAAATTTACAAATTTATTTCAGTATAAAACACAATGCCATGAATCCCCCCTCAAGCACTGCCCCTTGCTTCAACCATACTAACCCACCAACCATTCTTGCTACTTTCTGAAGCAGTTCTGGGAGTCCTCTTTCGTAAGTGCCTTTACAAGGTGTGGTCAAAAACATGGTGAATGTTGCGGCTGAGTGCCACCTACTAGAAGGCAGGCTTGTAAAAATATTATGGTGTTCTTATCCACTGAGTCTGACAATGTGCAACTACTGGCTCTTCCCCCAGGTCAAAATGACCACAAAAGGTAAAAGTTCTAAAGAAATCAGTTTAAGACATCAATGTGGCCACGACAGCGCAACCAGACACTCAGGAAAGAGGACTTCCAGAACTGCTTCAGAAAGTGGCAAGGATGATGGGATGAGTGTGCTCCACATGAGGTATTTTTCTGAGACATTAATGGCAATGTGTATTTTACTTTAGTAAATATTTTGGATTTAAACATTCACTATATTTTTATCGCACCTTATATATTCATACTAAAAAAAATTTAAAAAAAATTATTCATACGAAGTAAGGAGCCTTCGTATGCCCTTAACCCTGAAAGGTGAACAGTCTTTCATTTTAAAAGTAAGTTGATCATGGATCAGAAAGATTTATCAGGACTTGAGCACGGTAAAAACATAAAGCCTGGTCTTGCACTGGTCTAGGAAATGGCAGGGCATATTCACAAATGCTGGGGTGGAGGGTCGGATGCAGTTTTTACTTTTTAGTGGTGAATGCTCTTAGGCTAAGCAGACCGCCTTTAATTAGATAGCCCCTCTGCTCCCTGGGCAGGTTTGTGTCCAGCCTGTCCCTACTACCTAAGCTGAGAGAGGTGACACAGACTAGTTCTGTGGGCAGGACACACACCTGGTCAGAGTCGTTGACAGTGATCTTGAGGCCCCGCAGGATCTCGCCCTGGGGTGGGTGCTCATACATGGAGAGCTCAAACCTGTTCTGGGGCCCACTCTCTCCATAGAACGTTGGTGGATGGTTGTTGAGGTCCACAATCCTGATGGTGACAGGGACCATGGCCTGGGCAGCTGGGCTCCCCGTGGAGCTGACCTCTGTTACCTGGGGTGGGGATAGCACCAATGGCTGTGTGGCAGGCAGGCTGTTGCTGGATTCTGTGATCCTGGCTCGGGTTGTCCACGTCCTTGTATGACACCCTCTCTTTGAGTGTGGTCCTGCCCCATGACTTGCCTCTGACCACATGTGGCAAAGACTATGGGACATCACTTCATGGTGAGGTTACAAGAGACCATAATTTCCATCTTTCTGGCAGAATCTGCCTTGCTAGTTTTAGTGAAGTAGAAATTAGCAGTAACCCCCGACCAACAGCTGTGAAGGGACCAAGTCATGACAATGCCAATAGCCATGTGAGTTGGAAGCCAACCCATCCCTGTCCATCCTCCACAGGAGACCCCAGCCCTGCCTGACAATCCAACAGCAGCCATGCAAGAGACCCTGGAACCAAGGACCTGATCGAGCTGAACGTGGCTTCATACACATTGAGAAACGAATACGTGTTGTTTGAAGCCACTAGGTTTGAGGCAATGAAGCATTAGATAACAAATTCTAATAGAAGGCATTAGACAATGAATTCAGGGTACAAAGCCAGATCTGGGGGCCATGGGCACCTCATAAGCCATGTGGCCAATATCCCATGAGCCTGTGCCAAGGCCTCTTTCCCCTTCTTCTAAAAGGATGCTCCCCTAACAGTCCCTCCCTGGGCCCCTTCACATTGCCCGGCTGCTGTCTTGACTCCCTTCCTTCTCATCAACATTTCACATTGGCTTTCACACCCTGCATCATCCCAACGGCTTGGTTCCCTCAGTTGAGGGAACCAAGTTCTCCTGGCTTCTCGGGCCCCTCCTGGGTCTCTGGCATGCGCTCCTCCCTTTCAGCATCTGATGCTCCTGCACCCTGGACTTGGCCTACTGCCCGTCCCTACCCCGGCCATGCTCAGGGAGATTGCATCCCTTCCGGTGCCTTCCACAGTGTATGTGAAGTGCTCCTGTTCTCGGGCCCCTCCTGGGTCTCTGGCACGCGCTCCTCCCTTTCAGCATCTGATGCTCCTGCACCCTGGACTTGGCCTACTGCCCGTCCCTTCCCCGGCCATGCTCAGGGTGATTGCATCCCTTCCGGTGCCTTCCACAGTGTATGTGGACACTTCCTCTCCGTTCCAAACCTCTGTGCCCAGGCCTGGATCTTTCCCCTAGGGTGTCACCAGCACCCACGCCCTTCATTTCCCTCCTACTGCACTTGCATCTTTTCCCATGCTCCAAGCAGCACCATATCTGCTGCTGCTCCTTAGCCCCTCTCACCCCTCATCCCTGAACTGCCCTGTTCTGCCCAATCTACCTCCTTCTGGTTTTGCAATTTTCCTTTCTGCCATCCCCCCTTCCCTTGTCCCCACAGTCCCCTCTTCCTCTGATTCCTTGTCTGCAGGCTCTACCTCCTGTCTGCTTCCTCCCAAACCTGAGTGAAGACCAGAACTCCTAAATGCTGGCTGATGGTGCCTGGATCTCTTAGTCACTCAGTCACTCAGAGCCCTGGGTTACCAGAAACACTAGATTCTCATTCTTGGGACAAGTGCCGAGAAAGCTCTGGTGGGTGTCCCTTTTATCTTTGGGATTCACTGTTTACTGAGAAGCCAAATGAGCTTTCTACATGGAATCTGTTCAGTGGCTCTGTAGTGCTCTCAGATAGGGCCAGTGAAATATGAAAACTTATTAAGAATTTCAAGGTGACACAGCAGAGCTTGGTGTCCTAGCCACAGCCTCTGTGTGACTGCACAGGTCACACACCCTGCTCCATGGAAACCCTTCGCTAAGTAATTGGGGCTTCGCCCCCCCCCGCCCCACTTCTGGGATCCTCACCTTCCTCCTACCTGCTACTTGCTGTGGGCCCTGCTCCAGTCTCTACCATTGCTGTCACTCTGGGCATCCTGGCTTGTGTGGCTTGAAATGCCTTCACTCTACCCCACCAACTCCCTCCCAATCTCTGCCTGTTGGGTCCATCCTGGGGGCATTGCTGCCTCAGCCCCACACCCTCCAGCTTTCTCACAATTCTTGTGTGTGAGTTCCTGTCTCATTATAAGGTGGCTTCATCTCTGCTTCAGCCAGATGGAGGAAGAGCTTGGAGCAACATCTGTCTCCCTCCCAGACAGCCGCAGAGAGACAGGAGGTCCCAGACCTCATTGTGTTTGTAGCCTTCCAGGGATGGAGACTTCTGGGTAGGCCCAGCTAGAGATGCTTACCTGTATATGCAGTTCATACACCTCTCTGCGCAGCTGGGACGGGTTCTGCAAGACTGAGATGGCTCCTGATGTCTCATTAATTTCAAAGGCTCCACTGCTCCCTGTCACAGATATACATTGTAGTTCAGTTCAGCACAGGACCACATGAGGGAGCAAGGGAGTCATGCCACATGCTTCTCAAACTGGAATCTCATACAATGTGATATCGTCACCATCTGTGTGATGCTAAGGGAGAAACTGAGTCTCAGAGGAGACTTGTGGACGGTTACACAGCAAGCAGAGTAGGGTCTTGAGTTCACTTCTACTTGGCTCACGGGTTCCATCCATACTGCGTGCCTTCTCTTATGCATGGTGCTGTGTGTGTGTGTGTGTGTGTGTGTGTGTGTGTGTGTGTGTGTGTGTTTTTCAGTGGACTTATTACATTCAATCCAGACTTTTAAAAAACACAGCATTTCCAAGAGCATAAGAAACGCTGCCACCCACTGCCATCTAGAGACACAATGCCAGGTGAAAGGAGCTGAAATTGAAGCAGCCTGCATCACTGCCAGGCCCCAGGGCTGTTCTTTCTGCTGCTGGGACAGAGCACACTGGTCACTCCTGAGGGTCCCATCCCCTCTTCTGTACAACATCTGGTCCTCCTGGTCCCACAGGTGGGGGGTCCAGGACCCAGAGGTTTTGAGGACTTTGCTTTGGTTACCCAGAGTCTGAGATGCAGCCCCCAGGCTGCCCAGACTCACCATTCACGAGGCTGTAGACGAGATGATTGGGTCTGCCCTGGTCTCCATCCACGGCAACCACGGTCAACACCTCTGAGCCCTGGGGAGGAAGAGGAGCTCCTGCGGATGATGGGGATGCTGGGGGCCACCCCTCCCCAGGCATGGCCCTTCCCCTCCCTAGAGTCCCCACCCGGCCAAGGCCTCTGGGTGGCCCCAAGGTGTGGGCTGGTTCTGAGGGCACCTGGGCTGGAGGGTCAGTGGTGTCTGCCACATTCTGGCCCATGGGGACCAAGCACAAGCTGCCTGGCGAATCCCAGGACTCCTGCTTTGTGTCCCACACACTACACTTGCCTTCTGCCCCCTCCCCTTTTACCCTCCCTACTCCAGAGGGGCCAGAGGAGAAATGAAGGGGTGTCTAGGCCCCACAGGGCCTCAGATGTGGGGTCTCAGAATGTGGGCTCCATCTTGTGATACCGAGTATTGTTTGAAAGGATTTTTGTGGGGTACACAGCCAAACAAGTCCAGTTCAACTGTCTGCACCCCATGGGTGCTCCTCACACCAGGCTTGGTGTCCCTCCCCGCCTCTTCTGGATGCCACAGAGTCTGTTCCTGGCCCGAGCCCAGTGTGTCCAGGCCCAGACTCTGTACGAGGAGGGCAGTCGGCCTGTGAGGCTGGTGGTGGAGGGAGCCCAGCCATCCCCACCAAGGGTCCCAGGGAATCACAAGGACAGGAGGTGTCTGGAGGGGACCCTGGTAAGGGCAGCCACCCACCGGAAGGGTATCCTCGTACACATAGCCGTAGTAGGGTGTGCCCACGAAGACAGGTGCCATGTCCTGAACGTCCTCCACATTGACTGTGACTGTGGTGGTGGCTGAGAACACCACGTGGGCCCCTCGTAGCCTGCCCCCACCATCCTGGGGAGGAACCGGGGGCGACAGGAGGAGGGTGATGGTGGCTAGGCCCAGGAGCACAGGCATAAACTGCATGACTGAATCAAGAAGCAGCTGCCTGCTCTGAACTTCTGTCTGCTTCTGCATCCCTGGAGTTAGGTTTTGACACACAGGGATGTTAGGACTTAAACCAGACACTGAATGTGAGAAGGGTTTCAGCCAGTGCCTGGCACACAGTTGGTTCCTTTGGACACAGAGATAGAAGAGAAGGCTTTTTCAAAGCACATTATTTTTGCAAAATAAACCTCTAGGCCCAGAGCTAAACACCTGCAGACTCCCAGCTTCCCATGCCGCAAAGCCACAAACTCGAGGAATATTGTTAAGCTTAAGGGGTGGGCAGATGAGGAAACCAAGGCTCATGTGCAGAGGAGGAATGAGGTGGGTGAGCCTGGTCAGAGGAATGGGGGCACCCAGAGGCCTGATGTGGAAAGGGGCAGGAGTCTCCGAGGTAGGGCCACCTGGTCCCACCTAAGGGAGGCTGCCTATCAGTCTCAAAGGGTCACATGCTCTGTCCCAGCAGGGAACAGGGTCTCTTCAGTGCACGGGGCCCAGCCTGCTGGAGAATATGAACCCCAAAGCTGCCTCCTATGCCAGTTGGTTCCCGTCCTGCCTGGGGCTCCCCTAACTGTACCCCCCAACCCAACTGTGCTCCAGTCCAACCAGGAGAGGCTGATACTCCCTATCCTTCCTCTGTTACCTTGGCAACCACGGTGACCAAGTGGGTCCGGGACTTCTCATAGTCCAGAGTGGCCCCAGCCTGGAGGCGCAGCACACCACTGTGGCGGTCCATGGCAAATTTGGTGGAGTGGAGGCTCTGGAAGAGTTGGGGAGCCACGAGAGCTCAAGGAGGAGCCCAGGCTGCCAGGGAATGCCCCTGTGCTTACTGAAGGGATCCTCACCACATGTGGGCTAAGGTTCCCACTCCAGGGCACCAGCACTTCTGACCTCAGGTCTCCTGCATGAGCTGTGCTGGGGGCTCCCACACCCTCAGTCAACACCAGCGAGATCCTTCCCCACTGGATGGGACTAAGCTCTGGCCTGGAAGTCAGAGCAGGCAGGAAGGGTCTGTGGTGTGTGCACCTCTAGAGGGAGAGGGGCCTCAGGAGTCACAGGGGAGGAGAGACTGGGACTCCTTCTAACTACAAGTAAGCATCTTCTGGGGAGTGGCAGGAGCCCTGGAGCTGTAATCGGAGCTTTACATGTATCTAATCCTCATGGCATCCAGTGAGGGGTACTTTTATCTTCTCTGTGTACAGAGATACTGACCTCAGGGCCCTGGAGCTAGAAGACATCCAGCATGCCCTCCAGCCCAGTGAGTGGTGGAATCCCATGTGGTCCACCTTACCTGCAGGAAGTAGGTGACACTCCCTCCAGAGCCTGTGTCCCTGTCCACAGCATGGACCGTAAAGAGGCTGCTCCCGGCAGGTGTGTCCTGAGGGGTCAGAGCCACAGGGAAGGGTAAGGGGCAGTGACACAGAGCTCAGAGGCCCAGGGTCCATGGAGTTTGGGGTCTGGGCAGTGAAGAGCTGAGGGGTGAAAAGGTGACAGCAACTTTGTGAGCTCCTGAAGGGAGGGATGGTGACAAAGACGTATCGGAGTGGAGAGAGGGACAGGGGAAGAAAGGAGGAGCAAAGGCTGTGTGGAAGGGTTAGGGACTCAATGGGATGGGGGAAGAAAACCAAGACCCTGCATAGAGCCAGGAATTTCATGTGATGTGCAATTGAGGATGTGGATCATAAACATGGTCACAGTTAGGACCACCAGAGACTCCACCAAGTACAGAGCAAGAGTGAAATCCCTTCCTCTCACTGAATTAGTGAACACTTCAAACCTTGAAAATTCCTGGCTTTGGCAAGGGATAAGGAGACAAATTCTATCCTCTACTGCAGGATGGCATACATTAGGGTTACAATGGCAACTGATGAAAGGGCTGCCTTTGTAGTTGAAATGAATGAGGGAGGACATAGTGACAGAAGTAGGGAGGACACAGAGGTGAGGGCCTTGCAAAGGCAGTGAGCTGTGGACAGATCCGGTGCCCTGGCCTGGTCACAGAGCAGTCCTGGGGGAAACCGTGGCCCTCACTCACCTCTGGTACCAGGATGATGTAAGGCTCCTGTGTGAACCTGGGCCCCTCGTCATTGGCATCAGTCACCAGGATCGTGACCTTTTCTGCCACCTGAGAAGGGGCAGAGGGATCAGGAGTCAGGGCAGTGACACCTTCTGGGGGATGAAAGGAGGGTGGCCTCTAACAGCCCAGTGTATCCCCATCCATGTTTTACCCTCCTCTCCTCTATTATTCATTCATGAAAGAAATATAATTAAGCAGCCACTTAATGCCCAGCACGGTGCCCCTTCCCACAGTACATTATTTTGCAGCAGCCATGATGGCTTTGAGATGAGGTGTGGAGATATCATTAGAGTGCTAACAGCAGTGTGCCAGGTCCTGAAGGCAGGGCCCCTCATGGAACCATTTGAGGGCACCAAGCACACTGTATCCAGGGTAAATGGCTCCTGCAGGGCCATAAATGCAGCATCCAGAGGCCCCAGAAGAGGCATCAAGGCTGAGTAGCCACATGGCAAAGAGCAGGCAGACTTCCTAGAGGAGACACTGAGCCTGTGGCAGATTTACCAGAGGGAGGAGGTGGAAAGGTGGCCAGGAAAAAGGGGTTTCATGCCCAAGGGCAAAGAGGGGTGAGATGCACAACAAGGACAGATTTTAGTTAGATGGCTGTCAGGGTGGCTTGGGGAGAAAGTTGTTTGAAGCAGATGGCACCCAACAGGTGGGACCCTGAGTACCCTGAGAAGCTTGGATTTTAGCCCAAGGGTGCTGGGGCCAGCTGTTGGCACTTTCAGAGCTGAGGAGTGGTCAGATGAACATTTCACAGTGACATCTCTGCAGTGCATTGGGAGTGAGTGGCTGGGGAGCCTCTGGGGCCTGCTGCAGCTCCGGGAAGGAAGCAGTGATGAAGGCGAGGGAGGAGGAGGAGGTGAGGAAAGCCTGGGGGCTGGATGTCTGGCTTGCATAACGGGCCAGATGGAGGGCAGTTCACAGGAGGAGCTGGGAATGTTGGATAGACCCAGCAGAAGCTCAGCTGAGAGAGTTTGCGTTTCCCTCCCCTCTTCCCTCTCCTCTGGCCCTGTTGCAGACCCCTGCTGTGGCTGTGGGCACTTCTGACAGCTCTTGCTGGCCCTGGCCTGGGTTTACCAGGGAGCGCACAAGAGGGCTGGCTGGAAGACCTAATGCAAATTACATGTGTCTGGGTGGCTCGGCACCCACTCACCAGGTTCAGGCCATCGGAAATGCTGATGATGGCTTCGATCTCATCCTCCTTCTGTGAAGAACAGAGACCGAGTGAGTGTCCAGACTGTGACACACCACGAAGACTCCAGGCTGAGTGAAGCCCTGCGCACACCCTCAGAGGAGGCCTGGGCAGGGATTGAGGAAGCCCTAGAACAGGGTGGGGTGGTGGCCACAGTGCCACTAGCATGGCTGACAGCTGCCTCCTGCAGGCTGGAGACCTCACTGTGGGGGTCAGGGGGTTCTCCTAGACCCAGAGGGACTGAAGCAGTTCCACCAGCAAATGCTGTCTGCTTGCACAAGGGGAGAAGGACCCCCACATGCTGGAGGGAGATTTCTTTCTTTTACCTTCTCCCCACCATCATGCCACACCTCTCCACACTGGAGCTCTGCAGAGATCCATGTGTCGGGTGCCTCAACTGCGCATGAACCAGCAAGGCACACACGAGTGCCCACCCGTGCACATGTGTATGTGTGTGCTCTGCCAGCAGTCCCACTCCCCGCCCCTGTGTCCCACAGCCACAGGTGTCTCTGAGTCTCTGAGACCTCCCTTTCCTTTCGCTGCCCTGTCCCAAGGCTTCTGGATTTTGTCATTGAACCAGAGCTGGCAGAAGCCCCCAGATGAGGTCTCAAACCAGAAAGGAAGTCTGCCCCACAGAGGGGAGTCGCTTTTGCAAATTCAGACCTGCTCCCTCAGGCCTCTTTCCAGCCCCATCTGCTACCTGAATTCCCTGCACCCTACAAAACTTCTCTCAGGGTAGGCTTGAAAACCACATTTGGAAAACCACATTCAGAGGCGTATTTAGAAGCCTCTAAGTACAAACAGACTTTTTTCTAATTGTGCATGCTTAAAAGATTAGCAGGGCTAACAGGTGCTCATGAAGCCTCCTCTGTAATAGGAAGTAACCCCAAGCTACTGGGCTGGGGACCTTCCTCTGTCTCCTACCCTGCAGTGAGGATCTAATGCACAACATGGTGCTCTAAGGGACCTCTTGGCCTCAGAGAAGTCTATACATCCAGCAGGTGCAGCCTGTGATGCTCCCCACACCACCCCATACCTCTCTGTCCAGCTCCTCAACCAAGGTGATGTTTCCAAAATTCTGGTCAACGGAAAAGACGTTTCTAGAACTGGGGTCAAAGCTGATGTGGTAGGAGATGGAGTCTCCTTCAGGGTCTGTCCCATTGAGGGTATACACATGGGAGCCTGAAAGGAGACACAGTAGGGAAGACCTATAACCTGGTACATAACTTGTCCTGAATAGCAGCAGCACAGAACCGAGGACCTGATTGTTTATAGAGTGAATATTCAATTCAGTGCCAAGGTGCCCCACACCCTTTATTCTTCACAACTATCTTGTTTTGTCAGCAGCTCTGCTGATGGTAATCTGTATGCAGATTACAGAGGTGTTCAGGTCGTTCTGCCTAACCGGAGGCTTTGTATTTCCCTGTGTCTGGAAGGACTTCTCTCCCAGGAGCAAGGCTGGGGGCTCTCTGGGTGGAAGAGGGAGAGAAAGGAGGGTCTTAAGGCAGGACAGGTGACAGAGTACGCAGTGTGCCCCACCCTGGCCGGCCTCCCCTTACTAACTCCCTCTTTTCCCACCTCCCAAACCTAGCAGAGTGAGGAAGAGGGATTCCAAACCCCACCTCTTTCTCCTCTCCCCACCTTGGTTCACAGCTCAGCCTGCTGGAAGTTCTTGGATGGTTTTAAAGCCCAGAGAGCTGAGGCTCAGAGAGTTAAATACATTTAATCAAGGTCACACTGACACTAAAAGAACAGGGCCTTTCGGATGTGCTGCCCACCACTGCCTGCCTTGGGGCCTCTCCTCTTTGGGCCCTGGCGCTGGTCCCCATGACTGGCCCGGCTTAGTCGCCATGGCAGCGATGACCTCCTTTCCTTCCATGGCCCCGAGGGATCCCAGCACAAACAGGGCCCCCCTGGGAGCGCTCAGCCTGGAGCTCAGGGCCGCCGTGGGGTCGAAGTTGTCACCGGATGGGCCCCTGTTGTAAGGGCGTGAGAGCCTTCCGGGGAGACCTGCGGGATGGGGATGGGGGGCTATGGTTACACCCTCACCTACTGGGGTGTCCTCCGGGAGGCTGAACAGGGCCATGTTTCCATTGGTGCTGCCCGCTCCGTTGTCAAAGAAGTGAGGGGCGAAGTTGGCCTGGGCTAGGAAGGGAAGAAACAGCACGGGAAGACCCTTAACGCTGGAGAGAGCTTCACGCTCCTGGTCAGGGTCGAGCAGGGCCGCGCGTGTGTCAGGAGGGCACTTGGTCTCCTCAACTCCAGCGACCCAGGGCCCCCACCACCCACCTTCTGGAACTCGGACTAGGCTGAAGTGCCACGGACGCGCACGATCTGGGGCGCTTGGAAACGGGGCATCGCCCGGTCTCACCCATCAGAAGGCAGACCGGGAACCCTGCTCAAAGAGGGGGAGCGCCAGGACAAGGTCGCCCTGAGAGCAAGGACACCCTCCCCTGTCCCGGCGTCCGAAGAAGCCGGCCTCGAGGGTCTCAGCCCCAGACCTTGGGCTCCAGAGCAGCCTTCTGGGGAGGTGTCCGCTCAGTCCCACGCTGAAAGCGCACGGTCCCGGACTGGGTCCCCGCGTCCCCTCCTGCACGGCCACTCACTCACCCAAGCAGAAGCGCAGCAGCCCCAGGATCGCGGCGGCCCGCGGGGCGTGCCCCATGTCTCTGTGGGCGGGCGC